TGGTAACTTCTGTAAAATTCAGAGGAGCCCTGCAGCCAGGCAGCAGTGAGTATGTGCTGCGCAGCCCGCGTGAGCTTCCCTCCCCAGCCAGCACCGCTTCTGCATAAGGCACAGCTGGCATTTTTTAGCTTCCTTCCCCTCGGAGGAGAGGGAGGTAGTCCAGCAATTGCCATTACTAGCTTGGCCTCAGTCAGGCCACTCAGCTGCACGTGACTTCGTGCTAACCAAGTTGTACCGCAGTGCAATAAGCCACAAAAAATGGTGGAAAGTAGATAAAAGATGGTAATTTGGGAGTTAGTAAGATTTCATGAATGGGGGTTGCACTTGGTGGTGGAGGATGGTGGTTAGCCAGAAGGCAAAAAACCCCAATGAACCACACTAACATAGTTCTTTAAGGGAGTTCTGCCATCTACTTTCCTGAATATTCCTGTAATTCCATAAACAGAGTATCTGGAGATCATGGGTCCAAAAAATAAGGATCCAGTTTTACTTTCTACAATAGTGATGCATATATTAACTGAAATGAAAGTTAATATAGTTTTGTTTAATATCCATTGTGATCTCAAGTGTTTATGAAATGCTCATGTGGAAAAAAAAGATAAATTCTTCTGGTGCAGATTTTTTTTTGTAGCAAACCAGATCTTTGAATACTTCAAGAACTTTGCATTTCTTTCAACTTTTGATAGACAAATGAGATAAATTTGATTGTATGATGATAGTGGCTTCATCCTTGGATTTTGTATTTGAACAGGCTTTCTATAGTTCCTTTATTATGCTATTGAAATTGGAATGGCTGAGATATAAATTACATGTCTGAAATATTAATTATATTAATATGGGGGGCCTGATGGCAGTCACCTCACCAAATTAGTAACATGAGATCAAATGCTTTCCAGTCATTGTAGAAAATTTTACAGGTTTCTTTAATAGACAGATTGCTCAAAGCATGACTCATATTTAATGTGATTGATCCTAATTACTGTCCATCGTGTGTTTCACTTCATGATTCATAATGTTATTTAGAGACAGAATTCTGTAGCAATTACTTAACCCGGAGATAAATCAAACAAGGAAAAGTCATTGAGTCCGTACTTCCTACCTCTCAGCCATTTCTTAAGCCAGTGTGTTTAAAAGTAACAGTTTAGATGCCGACTCTATTTTTGTTATTGTATATCTGTCTTCAGCCTGTGGAGATTTGATGGATGCTGTAAATCTTACAAAACGATTATTATGAACTTTTTGTTAATTACCTTTATAATTCATCTCGCTATAAGCTGCTAATTGCAGGACCTTCTGTTAGTTCCATTGACATCAATGCTGAAACTCTTAATTTTATTTTTTAGCATAAAGGTGGGAGTTTAGATACACTTGTACTTAATTGTCAGTTCATATTCATTTTTCCTGAGAAATACTAATGGAGTCTGGTCCCTCTATTCCAGAGCGTTATCTAATGTGTTATGCATGAAGCTCTTTGACACTGGGAGAAGTGTGACATTTTAGTTGCATGCACATGTTGGGGCACTGTGAATAGTCAAAGAGTGCCGGGAGGAGAGGGGTATGGGGTCATACCACACAGTCACCGTCTCACGGTAGTGCATGTGTCCATTTGCAGACCTTCCAAGTCTTCCATTTGCAAACCTTCCAAACTTTACCTGCATTAAAAAGTTGAGATGCATTGCAGATAGTTAACCCACAAATTATGGAGGAGTCATGCAAGAATTCTTGCACAGAGGATAGCCTGGAGCCTAGCTGAGCTGTATAGAAACTTCGTTTTCTTCAGAAGTGTCCTGAGGAAGGAGTGCAAATTCTTACATGTTGCTTCTTTTGAAAAGTCTGTGGTTGGTATTTCAAGTAGGCTGCTAAAAGAGCAATTCCACGGCAGTGTTGTCTCTACATAGATAACTCTTTTGTATTGATTGCACTTGCAAAATGTCAGCTTTTGACACATAAACCATTTAATAAAGATGCTTCCTTTTAAAATCAAAATACAGATAACAGGAGCATTCAGTCTGCTTTTCACTTACATTTTCAGATTAGTTTTTGGCAAAACATACCTGGCAAATCGACTAGCAAAAACACAAACAGGAATAAATACATCCATGCAAAAGGATACACACTCTGTTTTATTTGCATTTGATAACTTCAATGTTTTGAAATACATTAAGTGGATAGTTTTGTGTTACTTGCCAGATTGCTGGTAGATAGTTTTTGGTCCCCCACCAATAATAAGAGGCAAGATTTTGATTAATATAGTATAGCTTATACTCAGAGCATGCAGTCTTCCAGTATTTTTCTTCTTAATCTGAAAAAGGAAGTTATAAAAGAATAGAGTTTCATTTTCTTAATTGAAAATAGCACCAAGTAAACTTTCAAACATGAAAGGGCGGATGATTAACTCTTTGCCTTGGGTTAAAAAAGATAATAAAGGCAGGGAGTGAGGGGGCGGCTTCGCAATACTGAGTTACAAAGACTGATTTTTCTAAGTTTAGTTGTTCCATGCCTTGGATTTAATTTCTGTTTCAACACTTAGTTGGAGTCTGTCTGATAGGAAGTTAGTAATGCCATCTGTATGCCAGCTGTGCAGTGGTATGGGGTTTCCATGTGCTTTGGGATTTTCAATAGAGATAGGAAACCATTTGCTGTTTCTGTTTGAGAGGAAAAAATGGAGTTTTGTAACTTACAGTTAGGGTTGGTCACATTATCACATGAAAAATTGAACAGAAAGGGAAACATTGACGTTTTGCCCAGACCACTGTTCAGCACCAGTATTTTGGTTAAAAAGCAAGCTTTTGTAGGCAGGTTCAATCTCATGGCAGAGCAACTCTGTAGTGTTTATTACCAAAATAGCGTTCAACATCCAGACATACCATATGAGATCTTGCCACTTCTGATTTTGGTAGATATTTTGCTGTTTAGCTTCAAGGGGCCTTGAGTCCCTTCTTTCTGGCACAGTTCTGTGTAGTAATTCAAGGGAGCTAATGTATTCAGTAAAAGTTGGCAATTAGTTGCATCTGACAATGAGAGAACAGATTTAAAAACCACTTGGAGGTTGATCCCCCTGTTCCTCTGACTTTAAATAAGAGACAAGAGCAGACATAAATTCTTCGGAGTTAATAAAGATTGCTATTTAAAGGCTTTTCACACTGATCCCCAACTTTAAATAGCTGCTTGTTAATTATACAGGTAGCAGTGTGACCTGCCAAATTGTAGTAATTAGCAAAGCCCCACAGGTACGGACCACAGTGTAAAACTCCCTAAGAAGTTCTGGGGAGTTTTTTAGCTATCCAAGGAAATTCTCACACAGTGGAATCTTTGAATCACAAACTCTATTTCCATACAAAATTCTAATTGAGGGAACATGTGCCTAGGAGAAGGTTTGTTTGCTGTCCCTAAAGTTTCCCTAGCTAGAGGAATACTTAATTCAAATCATGACCCTTGTGTGTTACTCTGCATCTCCAGATATTTGAAGTACTTTGTGGGTAAGTTCAGTGCCTTTTATATTTGGCAATGGCATCAGAAAGCACGTTAGCTCTGGCTGATTTTGCCCACTAGAATTGCCTGGACACCAAAGGTTTTGAGTTTTGATTCTGTTCTGCCCTGGTAGACATACAGAACCCCCCGAGTGGTTTCAAAAAGCCTTTTTCTGGTTGTTTGTTTGTTTGTTTTTGTTTTTTGTTTTTTGTTTTTTTTTTTTTGTTTTTTTTTTTTTTCCTAGAAGACATTGATTCCCATTTGAAAGTATAAACTTTTTTGTTTTGCTCTTTTCCTCCATCTCCCAGTTGAAATGACCATGTGGTTCTAGGCCTCCGCCAATCTCACTGATAACGTTTTATCGAAATCCAAGAGTCTCTAAAAACATTTGGCTTTGTTGAAAAAAGTATCTTTAGACTTAAAGGGTGTACAAGGAGAAGTGTTCAGACCTGTTATACCTAGCAATGGGTTTTAATCTCTTTCAAAAAGAGACCTGTAAGGAAAGGATTCTTGTTTGTGATGGGTATTGTATTTGCTTGAAAATGTTTCACTAAACTTTGAGGAGAAGATGCTGGAAAGATGCACGTGTTTTACCACAGCAGAGCAGGTGCTTTTCATGTTCACTAAATACATGAAAATAACTTCCCATGCTCTCCTGGGAAGCATCTGAGCAATGTTTTAGAGAAATCTGTAAAGGACTACATCAGCCTTGGCCCAATTCAACAGAAAAAAAATCTCATTGGGCAGACAAATAGTAACCAGTTGGAAAGGTAGGATTTTTAGGGCTGCCAACAACGCATTCTTTGCTCTCAGGAATGGATATTATTAGACACATCAGGTGAGTTTTGTCAATGTGTGTTCTTCTCCCACTGATATTTCTGATTAGCTGTAGTTGGCATGCGTTTCTGTATTTCCAGTTAGTGTTCTGCACAGTTGTTATTCAAATATACCATGTAAATAAGGTCTTGAGACTGTGGTGACCTCCACAAAGCTCTGGTGACTGCAGTGGCTTCAGATTTGAACAGCTCCCCTTATGCTGTGTTTAGCAGTATGTAAGTGGCCTGATTTCATTTATGATTGCCAAAGCAGCAAAGGTGAAAGAGGATCCAAAACTGTATATCAAGCTGCTTGTTTTCTTTAACTGAAGACTGTTTTTGTGGAATAGTTACTTCTGTGAGCTGAGCCAAAGTAATTAAAGGCTAGAAAGAGAGGAAGGGGTAAAAGCTTTTAAAAATAATTACCACTGCCTGGTAGAAGTATGCATATTTCTAATAAACTGGAATCAGTCCCAGTGCCATTCTGTTTGTTCAAGGCTTTTCTCTTCCCCTCTTAAAAGCATAATGTCTGTTTCTTTTTGGGAGATAGGTAATATAGTTGTATCGTTCATGTCATTATTTGCACATAATTTATATAGTTGAATATTCTTCTGTCATGGACCATGAGGTGATCTGTGGTTTCACATAGTTGTATTGATTATTACAACCCAAACTTGAGTTTTACCTAACTTGAGCATCTGTTTTGCTCTGTAGTTGACACTCCAGATCCCTATGTGGAGCTGTTCATCCCATCTGCCCCTGATTGCAGGAAGAGAACGAAACATTTCAATAACGATGTGAATCCTGTGTGGAACGAGACCTTTGAGTTCATTTTGGACCCCAACCAAGAGAACGTTCTTGAGGTAAATCACACGGCTGAGCTGCTTCTGTGAAAATGGAAGTTGTACAATGTCTGGAAGGTTAAAATGACAGTAGTTTGTACGTGTATGGCATCTGTTGTCTCAAGATTAGAACTTTTTTTTAAACATTAAAGGCTGGGTTTTGCCCGCAGGCATGGTGCTAAGCAAGCGATGTTGTATAAATTTCATTATTCAAGAAGTAGCCTTGAGAGTCATTATAAGAGATGCCTCTGAGTCATCTCTTGGACTGCTTCTGAGGGCTAGTAGCTTACTATTCTTCACATCAGCCATAAATTATTTTCTCCCTGCTTCCTACACCGATTCAGCTATTATGGACAGTGAATAGGTGGGGGTAAAGTCAAGTCTCTGCCCATTCCCTGCTTCTCCCTGTGGAGACAGAAAGCAGAAGCATGTTTCTGCTGTCTACTCTATGCCTGGAGCCCAGGGCTGAATAGCCCACCCAGTGATGTTTTGGGTACTCTTATTCCCTGTGCAGGCTTGTTGACTAAGCCACCATGAAGTGTGTTAAACCGTTTGGGTAGTGTACAAAAGGTGTTAAGTGCAACTGTTTTATAAGTGGGCATGGCAAGCATTTAAGGTTATCTACAGTCCTTTGGTACCTTGGTTCTTTGTATATGATGGCCTTAACAGGTGAAGTCTTCTGACCCAAGCTTACGGAGTGTCAGTCTAAATTGGCCAACTGGGATAGACACTAAAGCCTGTGCAGCTTTTCACTGAGCCAGTAACCATAGTCTCTTGGGGCTAAACTGTTCAAGATATGAATATTGTACTTCCTACAGGCTCCTTGTATTCCTGGGGAGAGGGGTAGGTTCTACAGTTTGGGGAGGGAGAATGCCATGATCAGCTCAGTGGAGCATGAAGGACTATCACATGCATCCTGCGCAAGAGACGGCAATACTAGGAAATTCCCAGCAGCTTCACTACAGCTTTGCAGGAAGCACATTACCCAAAATAGCTTCCACCAGCTGGTCAGGTGCAACAGTCTCCTGAGTTGATTCTTACTAAATGTTTTGGGCATAGACAGGCAATCTGGCTACATGAAATGAGAAAAGTTTGAAATCTCTAACGTAGTTCTTGCTTTCTAATAACAAGTCAGGCAAATAGATAACAGAAATCAGAGGGATGGAGTGATTCTGGCTTCTTTGTGAGAAAGCGTTTTGGAAATAGGAAGAAGAAAAGAAGAACTTGGGTTCATCAACCTGTCTGTTGCAGTGTGTGGGAACTAAAAATTGTTTCAATTTCGCCTGATAAAGCCTGTGTGGATTCTAACAGAAGTCCAGGGGCAGAGAGTTTTACTTGTCTTTTTGCTGATACTGTGCTTTTTTTGAAATTCTGCAGGAGCTACAGCTGGCTAAATGATCTTCAAAAGATGAGTGGAATGGTAAACTGAGGAATAGCAAATAATAGTTAAAATATAGTGTCTTGCTTTTATTGGCATTGTGTAAAGACTGGGTCAGATCTTGCTTGTAGTTGCACTTAGGCAGCTTCCCTAGTAATGTATGAATTTATTGAGTATAAAATTAATTTGAAAGATTTTTTAAAGGATAAATTATTAAAGTCACAAACATCAGTGGCTTACCTGCTGCCTTCTTGGGAACAGTAACACCTCTTACACTCTGTATCTTTATGCATTCTAATGTGAAGAAATAGGATGCTGGCAAGCCATTATTTTCTTACTGTTCCATGATCTCAGATATTTTTGACCATGTGGATGCCGGGGTCATTCGCTTCCTTCTGTGGTAGCAATGTGACTAGTTCATTTCCCACCAGGGTGAGAGCCCCCAGTTATTAAAACATCTTTTGTAATTTGGCTAACATTTTGTAAGGTGTTTCTCAGTTTTCAGAATGCTTTTGTGCAGTCATTATAAAGGACAGGATTTTATGAGCTGGCATGCTGTTGAATTCCCCCACAGTATGGCCATAGCATACTGCAAGTTGCTATCTCCTATAACAGAACACAACAAGATTGATTATAAGTAGAATTTGGAAATGTGTCTTTACAATAACCAAGGGCTGTTGCTGGTTTCTGAGGCACATGCTTTAAAATTCCATGAAAGTTGCCTGCAGAGAGCCAGTGATGCCATGTAATAATGGTTAATTGTGGATGTGGTTGATATGTATGTCTGCATACATCACATGTATGTGTTGTTCACAGTAAACATTCTATTCACCGTGAAAGATGGACTCTTTAGGTTGAAACTGAATGTGTTCTGCCACTCTTGTACGCACACACAGTGCCCAGCAGAGCCTTTGGATTCTGTGTGGAGTGCAATGTCAGAATTCAAATCTGTGAAGCCACCTCCCCACCCAAAACCTCTTTGTGAATTCCCAAGCTCACACAGACTCCACAATCCCTTCAGTTTCTCAGAGTATTTTAATCTAAATCTAACTCTATCCCAAGTAGTTTTCACTCTGACGTGTAAGAAGGTCTTCAAAATCCTATTAAGAAGTTTTTGCTATTGCTCTTGGTTTTAAAAGACAGCCCTCAGAGATTACAGCAATGGGCATGAAGTTCTGCGAGGAAACAGAAGAACGTAGATGCCATTAAAATAATGAGTTGTGCCCTAAAATACAGTTCATCATTTCAAAGGGTTGCTTGTGGCACAGGATAAAGAAGATTCCTTATAGCTGAGAAGAGGCTGAACGCAGGTGTAGCAACTAGTTATTCAAGTGATTGTATCTTGATTCCATTTGTTTTATGCAAAAAGATATGGTCCAAGCCACAAACATGATATTTTAGAAGATACAATTTCACAAAGTGGAAAAAAATCATAAGCTAAATGAGTTTGGAGAACTCATTTGATAGAAACCATGTAAATGGTAATTTGAAATTCTTTCTGAATGTCTTAACGTGAGAAGTTGGAAGGCTGCCACTGATCAAAAAGGCTGCTAGACGTAGACCCACATGGATTAGAGCAAAAGCATTGAACAGTGTTCTGTGGTATCCACATACATCTTTGGATGTTATCACCTTTTGAAAAGGCATGTGCTCTGACATGGAGAATCTGAGAAGAGACTTGAAGATCTGGCTGGATACAGAGAAAAGCTTTGTGTAATTTGGAATGCTGCACATTTTGCCAAATCATTGCTTTAAAAATCTTGGTCTGTAGATACAAAGCTAGCATGTATGGATTCTATCTTCACTGAAAAGTTGCTGTATGTTTTTCGACATAGCCCATTTAAAACTATATAAATTTCTCCACCAACAACTTTTACTAATTGGAAATTTGAAGTAGTTGTGTATTTTATATGTATAATTTGAAGTTACTATGTCTGCTTAGAAAGCCTTTTGTAAATGTTACTGTTGTACTCATGAAATTGATTGCCTTGAAGGTGCCACCCACGCCACCCACGAGCTTATCCTGTTTTAAAAGAACATGTCTGTTGTCTTTGGGTGTTGGCTTGGTTGGGTTAGGCCTATTCTTTTTCCACAGAATTCTTTCTTTTTTTTTTTTTAAAAACTTTAGGCACAGGCTGTATGGAACTAAAAAGGGATTTATCAAAGCAGAATTGAATAGCTGTGTATCTTTTCTAGGTTACTTTGATGGATGCCAACTATGTTATGGATGAGACTCTTGGCACGTCCACGTTTCCTATATCTTCTCTGAAACTAGGAGAGAAGAAGGAGGTCCAGTTAACTTTCAATGACGTGAGTTGCAGCATTCACAGCTTTGCCTTTGTTGGTGCAGCTTTGAACACGATGGAAAGTTCTTAAAAGAGCACCTGAACTGAGAGACCTAAACTATTGTGTAGATCAGGATGTACCACGTTCCAGTCCCCTATCAGATGTCTGAATTTTGTCTGTGTCACATTCTGCTTAGATAAATCTTCTTCACAAATCAATAGAGGATGGTGGTGATAAAGGCTAAGTGATGTATCTTAAAGACTCTCATTGAGTCTGATGTTACTGGAGTATTCTCTGTCATTTTGTTGAAGCATAAGAAAAACATTTAGCCTGCTCTTGATACTCATCAGAAGTACATGTCCCTAGATGAAAGGAAATCCAAAACTATTTCTGATCCCATCAGTCTACCTCAGTACTATGTATGTGTGTATGTGCTTTCTTAATATAGAGCTAAGTTTTGAATTCAGGAAGGGATTAGAATATATCACGGAGGGGGTAAAGGTGACAGCCTTTCAGTCAAGAAAGAGCTAAATATTTGGGGCCTGGGAGGGGGTATCTCCAGTGATGATTGTTCTCTGCACATCCTGCTCTGAAGCTTGTTTTCTCAGCATTCACTGTTGCTCATGGTTAAACATAGGGTGCTGGCCTAAAGGCACTGTATTTATCCTCTTACAGTCCTGCTGAGAGAAGAATTAAGAAAAACAGTGCCACTGAATGCCTTAGTGTCCCCACTGAGAGAATCCTCTTTAAAAGTCTAGTTTCAAACTTTCGTTTGCTAAACCAGTTTCTGCACCACTTGATTCAATTTAGTTTAATGGTCTTCGTTAGCATGAGAGGTTATGCAGAGCTTGCTGGTCAGTGTATTACCTCTACTCCTGATGCCTGTGGCTTACGGAAAGCTAACAGAAGTTCTTTTATTGTTACATGTTTCACTAGCAGTAAATGGCTTGTTGTAACACAGACCTACTTAACATGCAATAATGCATTAATTGGATTATTCTCTTTAAACATGTATACAAAACAGATGGAGTCAGTTTAACAGGGATTGTCTGCCTGCACGGTAACTCCTGGAAGTTGTTAAATCTGTGTGTAATTGAGCTTGTTCTGCACATACTAAAATATCATCGTTTATTAGAGTAAGATCTTGCAGTCCATTCTGAACATAATTCAGTACTTGTAGTTATATCCATCACATCTGGTTATCTTTATATATATTGTATGAATATACTACATGTATAAAAACTGTCTGCATTTCTGGTTTGGGCTATGGTTTATTATTTGATCAGAGGTCTTGATTTGTCACTGCTCTGCTGTTTTCCATGTGATACAACTTTAAAAGTGTGGTTACAGCAAATAACTGGTTCAAGCTTATTTATTGGAAATCTGAGAGTTTCATGTGTAAGATTTAGCATTGAAACAGGCATAGCCTTAGGGCAGTTAGAATTTTTATACCCTTTTTTTTTTTTTTTTCCAAGTTACATCAGTTTTTAAAGTTTCTGCATATTTATTTCACTAGGTGCTTCAGTCACTTCCAGAGTGTGGGCTGACTGCAGGTGCCTGGTTCTGCCAGGCACAAGGTGACGTAGTGAGAAAGCTGATGAATAAATTCTGAAAACACAGTTTAACACAGTTTACAAGACTCATGCCAATAATATAAGGCCTTGCCACATTACAGATATGCTTTAACTTCTCATCAGCACTCACCAAAGCTTGGTGGAGAACACAGGGGAAAAAAATCAGTGAAAAAGGCCAAATACACTCTGAAATCTAGAAGCAAATAGTAAGGGAACACCAAGTCAGGTTGAGGCCAGTGTAGACAATTTGTATACACAATGTGTATTCCTCAGATTTCTGTGGCAGCCTGTACAAGGTATAGAAAGTGGCATGCTATTTCCCTATTGGAATGTTTCACTTTAAGGATTTATTTAATCCTGAGTGTGCACATTGTTTTTTCAACCATTGGATCACTGCGTGGTTTCTGAAGTGCTTTCTAAATTAGTAATATCAGGTGCTGGAATAATGTAATTACTACTCTGTCTTTGAAGTATTTCCGTAAATGACTCTTCACTCTGTTTCTTCATGTTCTTCCTTTGTTATTTCTTTGCCTTTCCTTTCTCCCACCACCCTGTTAATATGCTACCTGATTTACAATTCCCATTTCAGAGGGCAGGAGTGGAGTGCCAGGTTTTACCTGGCCCGGCAGGTACGTGAGATGTGGGAGGCCAGAGGCAGCTTTGCACTTCCATACCCTTAACGACTCTGTATAAGTGTCAAGCGAACATTCAGTCTGAGGTGTTCTAGCTCCATTCCTAGTGATCACATGCCACAAACGAGGAGGAGAATCCATTCATAGCTAGGGGCAGAGTGAAACAAGTCACCATGTGTGAGTCTGTTGCACTCCTACAAGGCTGCACCGATGTGTAGGTGGCCACTGCATATGAGAGAGCTCCGGGAGGTGAAGATGCCTGTCCATTCTGTCTTTGTTCTAGCAACCTACTCCTGGATTTTGCTTAACATGCAGTTAGTGCTTTAAGCATCATTTTTTAAACTTCTGCCTGCAGGCAACGCCTGTAAGTGCTCTGTGAAAGGCCAAGGAGACCAGCCCATAGCTCATGGGTCAGGTAGTTCTGTGTGATCTGCAAGTGAAACCATTATGTAGTGACATTTATTAGTCATTATTACTGCATCTTTCAGAAACTCGTAAGCAATCGCTCTTCCTGATTGAGAATTTAAACATATTTAACTGTGGAAGGACACTTGGTGGCTCATGTGGAACTCAGAGCAGTCATTCCCTTACAAGTCTTTGTTTCAGATACAAGTTGAGTATGAAGTTTACCCAGTGAACTGGGAAGCAAGTGGCAGATAGACTGTGGCTGGCAGGAGAAACAAAGGATCTTACGTGTGTGAAGACAATTACATCCCTTCAGGCCAAAGATGAATAGCACTGTCAGAAAGTGATTGTCAGTGGAAGAAAGCCAAGGCAATGGGATCTGATGAATGAAAGTCAGGACCTAGCAGCACCTAACAGCGTTTTCTACTGTATTCCGTGCTAGTGGTGTATTTTGGAATCACATTGAGTGCTTTGAAAAAAAAAAGAAGTTCCATAGAAAAGAAACTCCTTCATGCATTTCCAAAATGTCCCCCTTTTTAAAAAAAGGCATTTAAAGAAAAATTCTGACAGTAATAATTAGTTTATGTTCCAGGTGTGTTTGGGTTTTTTTCCCCTCTGTAAGTGGTGTAACCATATTTAAATATTTCTTGTTTAGGTCACAGAAATTACTTTGGAATTGTCTCTTGAAGTATGGTAAGTATCTCATATTTAAAAAAAAAAAACAAATGTGGAAAATGTATTAGCGGCAAAGGTATTTTTTAGTTTGTTAGAAATTTTTGAAAAATGTGTCAGGTAGAGTGCAAAAATTGCTTGTTTTAACATAGAAATACCAAGTACTGTACAGTGAGGAAATTTTAAAATTGAGGTTTTTTTTCACATTGCAATTCCATCATTGACTTAAACACCATTACTTGTACTAATAGGTGTGCCCTTTCCAAATGTTTGCAGAAACAAGGCCATCACATATGAATTTCTCCTCCTGGCTTATGTTAAGTGCTTTCATTTTCAAGGGCTTTTTCTCTTATAGACTCATAGAGATCAGGTTCAGCTGTTACCCTCGTTATTTTACTTTCTGTGGTAACTTTGTGTATGGTAACTTTCAGTATATATGGATACTCATTAGAAAGCTGCCCCTGAAATGTATTTGACTGTTAGTACCATGCAGTGCTGAAGTCAAAGGTGAAGATCTCAGTAGGGCCAGGATTTCACCATGTGTAAAGCCAAGTGGATGCCCACCTTTTTTTTCCCTTTTTTTTTTTTTTTTTTCCTCTCTAGCTGTCTTTCTCCCTTTTAGCCCATCTAGGTGAAAGACGAAAAATCACCTTGAGGTGTAATCAGAAAAATATCTTTTAAATCTAAAAATGAATTACCAAGAAGGCAGCATTTAAAGTATTTTTTTTTTTTTTTTTTTTTTTTTTTTTTTTTTTTTGTCTGTAATTATAAATAGCAGTGCTGAGCACTGTAACTGTAAACGTAGAACTCTTTCATAATGACTCTGGGGACTGACAGACGCCGACCAGGGATAATTTCTTCTCATCATTTTGTACTAGTAAAGATGCATGAACCTTCCTTTCAGGACTTGTACATTACAAGTATTTCCTATCTCTGATGTTAAGTGAACAGAAGATGCTTGACTCTGCCTTGCTGCTCTTAGGCAGTAGGCTTTGAAATATGTTATCTTATCAAGTTCTGCTCTGTTATCCTTGGATAGCCAAACGGGTTTTGGATTCTGTGTGGACCTCTTGTTCATGGTATCGTGTATACTTTCATGGAACATTACTTCTAGACAGTCTTTTTCCCCTTTTTTCTTAATCCCATTGTTTTATTACATAGTAAGTTTTTTAAAAATTGAGGAAAAAGTTTTAAAAATCTGAGGAAACCCGTGCCTAAATAAATCCATTTCATCCTCGTATGTTTTTAATGAAGGACTCTTAGAAATGCTGCCTTGTAACTCCCATGTCAAATTATACAGAAACATTTTTAGCTCATCTTCTGAAATATGAGAATTTCAGTGAGACAGATACCAGGACGAATTTGTACGCTCCTCCTCACTGCTGCCTGCTGGAGGCAGTGCTGCTGGGAGGTATTGCAGCTCAAACCTTTTGAATGACGTGCAGGCTCGGTGAGTTAACTGGTCCAAATGAGGTGACAGTTCAGATTGTTTCTCCTGCCTTGATACCTGAAATGAGAAGTGGGAGGTGAAGTTGTAGCTTTTATTTCAGTACAGTGTTGAGGTCTTTACACAGCCCTGTCTGCATTTTTGATCACACAGTGTGGGGAAAATGCTCGAGAAAGAGGCCTTTTCCTGTGGCCAGCCAGTACAATTTGTGCTGAGATCCATACAGTGTTTGATTGTAAGACTGAATGGCTGCAGAGTCAGAAGTACCCTCTCCTCCCTTAACGTGAACCTCCAACTTAAGAAGAGTACGTGTTAGTAGGAATGTGTGAAAATTTTTCGCTGCAGTTCTTTGTTCAGTGGATAAGCAGAGAACTCAGATTTCTGGACTGTAAATTTGTAATTGTATGTGAGTGATGATCTCACTTGCTATATTTTAAGTTAGGTTTTTTAAAGACCATGTAATATACCACTAGAAGCTGCGTATTTTGTGTTTGGTTTTCAGTAGTATGTGAACAACGAGGTTTCTATATAAAATGCATGTCTTAAGGACACAGTGTGCCATTGTTCTTTGCATCTATCACTGATGCAATTGTATTGCATGAATAATAATTTTATTTTATTTAATCTTATGTAACTTATTGAGGAATTTACTCTTACTTCCACTCATTACCCTAGGTGATATTTTTAATTCTGTTTTGAATGATGCCTTTTGTTAAAGCCTATCTGTTTTGCAAAATAGCTCTTCAACTGATCTCCGGTTCAGCATGGCTCTGTGTGATGAGGAGAAGAAATTTCGGCAACAGCGAAAAGATAATATCATGCACAGTATGAAATCATTTCTAGGAGAGGAAAACAGCAAGAACTTGACGACCTCTCGTGATGTAAGTTGGGAGAGTTCATGTGAAGATTTGTATCACCTTAGGAGTCCTGCATTTGTCTCTCAAAGGAATGAATGAGACATATGAGGTAGAAGGGTTCGATGTAAAGACAGATAGGAGAAGCAAAAAAATTTCTTTTTCCCCTATGTGCATACAGTATTTAGGCTGGACACTGATTTTTCTTGTGCTCTGAATTTATTGATTAAACTTTAAGGAGGCAAAATCCTGTGCCAAAATGAAGCTGCCCATAATGTGCAAAAGGACAATACTGTGTGAATGCCATCGTAGGATAGAAGTCACAGCTTTTCATTTGCACTGGCACCTTAAGCACACTGCTGTAACTTTTATCTGGTTCTTTATTGTTTTAAACCTTAGCAGACTGTGCCTAGGTTAAAATTGGGCAAAGGAGATAAATCCATGCTTTTAATTTTGCTCTGATTCTGAATTCCATGCTTTGCTAAGGTGTTGGTCCTGAGCTGAGATCGTCATCTGAAAAATGCCTAAGGGGCATGTGAACTATCTGCTGCACAAGAAGCGTGCGGTGGCTCTGGGCATGTGCCCAACTGCAGAATCTGCCCTTGCATGCTTGATATCCAGCCTGTGCTCTTTAAAATGGCCTTGGCTGTATGGCCTTCATGTCTAAAAGATTAGTCAGGAAATGAGCTGTTTTAATGTTAAACTCATCTTAGGAATTATTTTCTTTCTTTCTTTTCTTCTTTTCCTTTAGACCATTTTAAAGGATTAGGATTATGAAGTTTGTTTCTTAGGGAATGTGGGAAACTGCAGCTTTCACTGACTCACTGGTGCTCTTACCAAGCTAACAGAAGGTTAAGCCAATGGATCTAGCTGGACTGATGGTGGTTTGGGTCACATCAGAGTGAGGGAGGGTGCTGAACCCTACTGATCTCAGTGATTTTATAAAACGCTGCATTATTTTGAGTTAATTAAGGATATACTTGCTACAGATCCACTTATTTAGTAGTAGCTTCTCCATCTTCCTATTTCCTCCTTGCTTGTTCCTTCTCCTGTTCTGCTCCCAGAATTGTGACATGAAGACTGTGTGTATGTGGGGAGTGTCAAACAGTGAACAGAGTCGATGAATTAATCTGGGTTGATTAATTCATTGATATTGGTTCGTTTTGTGCAATTTTAGTATCTAAAAGCAGAATGTGACAGTCTTTTGCAGAAACTGGAACCAACACTGAAGAATTCCTCTTAAATTTCTATGAAGTTTAGAGCAGGTGGTAAATGTGTTGTATACTGTTGAACTCTGTCTTGCATGATAAAATCTGCTTGTATGAGCTTTCCGAGGAAGATGAAAGAATTTGACAAATATCATGCATATTTTATTTGCAGTGATATAAATTCTGCATATTGTGAAGGAACATTTTCAAGGTTTTTTAATTTTCAGTTCAGTTATTTTAATCTTAAAACATGCAAATCTTATCACAGTAGATGTTTGTGAATGTGACATTGGTCTGGTCTTCTACAGTAGAATGATATCTTTTTCAGAAAGGATATAGATATTCTGCCAAGATCCAGTTAGAACTGGAGTGATACTCAGTGCCTGAAGTATCAGTTCTCTGCTGTGCAGGTGGTATGTGTGCATACGTGTGTAAACCTTAGATTTCATATTCTTTTTGTCATCATCTTCACTTGGTATCACTCACTGTCTGAAATACTGAAATTTTATCAGTTAAATTGCATCTTCCAAGACCAGACAGTAATCGCTAATTGTAGCCTTATCAACCCTAGGAAGGACTGAGGTAATGTGATCCTCCCATTTTTCATATGCCAAGTGTGTATTTCTAAGCTGACTTGTCAGAATTTTTAGCTGCTTCTAGCGATGAAAAAAAATCTTTTTGTTCAAATTAAAATATAGCTTTGTCCTTCTAGCATGTCATTTTTACTTTTATTGCTACAGATGGAAGATAGCAGGAGGATTTATAGGATGTTTGTAGTCTTAACATGGCATCAGAAGTCGGGAGACATAATGAGTATTCTTAGGTGCCTGTGAGTCATTGTTTAATCTTAAACAAGTCACTTACTTACTCAAAGTTCATCTGAGTTTCTTCATCTGTGGATAGCAACATGTGTGCCTTGCAGGGATGCCATGAGACTTTAGTACCTGTGAAATAATTATACATCCCTGGATGGGGAAATGAGTACTTCCAAATTTCCTTACTTAATCTTGAGGCACATCCTGAAAACATAGAGGAGGAGATTTCTTGTACCTGTGTTATTCCTCAGTTTGTTTTTATAATTTTTGTTGCTTTAATCAATTTTCTAAAAATACCATAATCAATTAAAGAAAGCATATAGTTCTCTAAGACTGGATTTGCAGAACAATTTTTTAATCATCATCTGTTTACCCCATGGCAATTTTTATTCCACCACAGGTATTCTTGTCCCGATCTTGTGCATGGTGTTTCCAGGGCATTTGGATAAAAACATCCGTACTGCTCATTCTCAAAACAAGATTTAATATGTTTTAGCTTTTCTTTTTTTGTCAGATTACTTGAAAATATGATTGAGATGCCTTTTTCAGAGCTTGCTTTTCTTAAAGCATATCTTGTTTCCCAAATCCTTTTCATTTTCATGCCCAGTTTGGTGATTAAGCAATCAGCTCTTGTTGAGATGAGGCACCCATTGCTTGAAGTGGAACTGTGCGGTGCTGGGCTTGGCCGCACAGTACAGTGCCCCATGGATCCTAGAAACATTACAGATGTATTTACAGAACACTTCCTCAGTGTTCTTAAATCCTGTTCAGTGGAGTTTGTTTGGATGGTATCTAAGCTGGTTTGTTCAAAACTAGCTTGGGTCCCTCAGCTGCGTGCTGTGCAGACCAACTACAGGAAAAAGAAAGTCATGCTGGTGTGGCCTTTTGGTCGTTCAGAAGTGGGCACAACCATATGGAATCAAGTGCAGCAGGTATTAGAGCAGTGGGCTTTTGCTTCCAAGACTTCTGAATTCAATTCTCATTTTTGCCGTTGACTCACCACATCACGTTCTTGTGAGTCACTTACCCTTTTGGTCTAAGTTTACTAATCAGCTTGAATGGGTTTAGTACCTCTGCCCCAGTTTTACTGATTATGTACAAAGGACTTTGGGCTCAGCGTGCCTCAAAGTGTGGAGTGCATTAGGCCCAGCTTTTGTACGTGGAGAAGCGTGCATGCCTTGGTATCCTGTCTTTTCTCCGTTTTTCCTCAATCGTGAGATGGCTTCTTGGTTCTTTTCCCTTTGTCCTCTGTCTGCAGCTACTTCCCCCGCTACCCCTGTCCTATTTAACCTAGAGGGCAACTTGTAAGATGGGTGGATGTAGTTTCAAATTTTAACATTTCTTGCCCTTAAACATGTTGGAAAGTGAATTGCAGCTAAAAAGCTGCTTCAACAAACCTACCTGCTTGAAAATGTGCTCTACTCTCCTCTGCAAAGCAGGAAAGGACTCTTAACCTTCATCACTTGACTTATGCCTACAAGTCAACTTGTATTCAGCTGGCTGAAATAAATGAATGTAAATGTGCAGTAGAAGCTTCTGTTCAGTTATCTTTTCATCATTTAAAAGCTTTACTTACTGTGGGAAGACTACTTAAGATGCTGCCCTCTGATCTAAAGCTCTTTAGTTGAATTTAATTTCTGGAAATGAAGTGGTGATTGCAGCTCTTCATACTTTACTTTGGTATCAGGTGGAAATGAAGAGATTCTATACATCCACCTACTCCTCAGTGTACCCACCTGCCCCAGTTGAGGAATCCGTGATTCCCAGAATGCCTGTGGCTTGACTATACAGGAAGTGTTTGCAGACAGGATGCTAGTGACTCTTCTCAACATTCTTTGTTGATCCTCCTTAGGGATTTCTCTGCATCCCGAAGAAAACTCAGATTTTCCCTTGTGCTCGTGCCACTTCGCTGATGAATAGATTTGTTGAATAGTGGTGCTTTGGAAGTGTTCGCACATACTTTTTCCAGGCTTGCACCTGCAAACCACCCTTTTCATCCTGTTGGGATTTGTCTGTGTAGGTTAATTATGTAGTGTTTGTAAAGAGCTTTCAAAGCCTAATGTGCATTATTAAATTTGTGATTAGTAATATGGCTCTTCTGTTCAAAGCAACTGCTCCGTTATTGGGGTGTTGGCTTAAGAAAACAGGCATGTCCTAAATCTTTACCTTTGTTTTGTCATTTTTTTGATAGATAGTGATCTCTGGAGGTGCATGACGAATGCTGATGCCAGTAAATGCCTGTGGTTTCTATTACTAAAGCTTAACACTTATGAAGAAGATAATCAAATAATCTTACTGCATCAAGAATAAGTAGCTTTTATGGAGTGGAAACCTCAAGAAATGTCTCAACTTACTTGGTCATTGTGCATGGTCATTTCCGTGTGACTGTGCGTTTTCAATCCGCAGGGGAGTTTCATGGCTTGGAGTGTGGAGTCTGCAGAAAGAAACTGAACTCAGTAGTCACGTGGTTCCTTTTATTGTAACTAATCCCATCTATTGGCACCTTAAATTGCATTTCAGTGAAATTTTTGACTGATTACCAGTTTGATCAGATAGGGCCTTTCTGCACAACTGTGCAATTCTTTTCATGCTTAGTAGCAACCAAGAGGTTGTTGCCTTATCACCATTGAACAGTGGAAAATTCTTCTAAGTTTTGGAAATTGGGAAGCAGATGGGACCTTTGCTTATTCTAAAACACTTGATGATGGTAGCAAGTGAATTTTTGTTTTATTTGGTCTTCTTTGTAGATGCTAGGGGAAACTATGCTGTAGAAGGGAACAGCTTTGAAGTCACGGCTGGGAAGTCTGGGTATTAAGAAGGAAAGAAGTACAAAATAAAACCCTTGTAGATACATTTTCAGTATGTTGTCACGTGTAACTGGGTCTGCTTTTGCTCACTTTGCTGTTTCTTCATAGCTGAGTAGGTATACAGATGCACATAAATTCTCCTTACCTGTCCTGTAGTTTTTGCAAGGTGGTTGTAAATTTGAGACTGTCTTCATGCTATGTAGTAATAGCAGGTGTTTTTATTATAAAATGTGTTTTTAAACTCCTAGCCAAAATATTATTTGTCTCTCTTCTGTTTCTGATTAGTAACTTTTACTGCTCTTGGCTCTTTCAAAAGGATATCATTTAGATTAAAGCTGGTGTTTGGATTGCTTTAAAAATGTATGTGGTCTTGTAACTAAATAGTTCAATTAATAACTAAATTGAATATCTTTTCTATTTTGGATTATGGATAAGAAGGACAGACATTCTGAAGAAATTTTATTATATGAGTATATTTTTAGTTAGAACTCTTGCTACGAGTGATGACTTCTTCAAATAAATTCTAATGCTTCAGATACCAGGTAATTAGAATTCTAAGTAACAGGGCATCATGGGGGCAACAACTTACTAATGCTGAGATCTGATGTGGTTTATTCACCCAATCTGTAGACTTATTGGTTGTATTTTAAGGTCTGAAGCAGTGCCACAAATCTGTGGGGGTGAACTGAACTTGAAATTCTGTACGTTATTTCAGTAGACAGGAAGCTAAGGAAGGTCATAATGATAGTATTTGACTTCCACTATATATGTATATTTTACTACTTGACCTGAAGAATCAGAAAAATCAGGCATTACCTTTGTGCCTGTAAGGAACCTAAAATGGAAGATTCTGTGCAGTGATAGTATTGTGCCCTATTAGCAAGTAGTAGTGAGTAAATAGTGAATAGGTAGTGAATAAGAAGTACAATTGTAGAAATACTGTTGGGGGGGGGACCTCTGGAGGTCAGCTAGTCCCAGTTGTCTCTGGAAGGAGTACTGTTGCCAACACTCACTTTACTGCCAACAGAGAAAATCGGGGTTGGATTCTGCCTGGCAAGCCCCAGAAGAATCCAGAGCTTAGCAAATTCCAGAGTCCTAACTCTGATGCTCATTTCTCAGCCTTGGTCTGATCCTGAACTCACTCACTTTGTGAGGACTGCAGCCCAGGCTGCTCCCGGTGCCTGCGCTTGCCCCTGGCTCTTTACGGTTTGTGAGCAGCAGGTGAGGTACAGCATCAGTCAGCCCCTCCGCCATTTGCATTGGGAGGTTGTCACCAGGGCCCTCTACAAATTTCCTGGATGGCTCCCACAATGCTGACCTTTCAGCAGGGGATTAAAATCCCCTCCTGAGGACCACAGCCAGATCAGGAGGCTTCTGGTTTTTAGAGGAAGCCTTACCCGCTTCGTCCCGTTGGTCAGCAGTCTGAATCCGACCACCCCAACTTCCCTAGCGTTACTTGCTTTCTGATCATGACCCAGAAGCTCCCAAAAGGCGTGCCTCTGGTTGCATCATGATGTTCTGTGCAGTCAAGGAGCTGCTTTCTTGTTGATCACAGCCCCCTTGCACCTTTTTTTTCCTGCCTATCTTCCCGGCCTCCACACATCCATGGCAGTGTGCCAGGCGTGCACGCTGTGCCACCAAGTCTGTGGCATTCTGATTGTGTCATAGACCTGTGACTGCACTCGAACTTCCAATTTTTCTTGTGTGATGTCTCTCTGCACTACTATAGGGACATTTGAGGTAAGCCCCTGAACACTCTTCCTTCTGAGCAGGAACGTGCGGGTCTCACTACTCACTTTCTCCCATGCATTCCTCCTGCATTTGCAATATTTGCACCCTTCACTCAGGTCCCCATCATTGAAGTTTGTCTGAAGTCTTCCTCATTAAATTAGCAAGTCTGTTCATGAAAGTGTTCCTCACTCTGTTGGTCAGGTGGATTCTGTATTTTCCCATGGACCATCTTCATCAGCAAGCAAGGCTCCATGCTCAGGAAGCCAAGAGTCTCACTAGTGACGCCAGCCGAGCCTTATAGCATCTGCTTGAGCCATTCCTCTTGCAGACTGGAAAGATCAAGTTCACAGGCTGCAGCCTCGGGTGCCTGTGTTCCTCATTCTTGCCCTGAGAGAGGGGGCAAAGCACTTCTCATCTGCTCAGGGTCTCCCCTGCTTGTATCACTGCTGCCCCTGTGGATGAGCAGCAAGGAGGAGCATCTGGAAGGCCGGGTAAGACCCAGCCATTTCTCCATGCCATCAGGGATCTGGAGTTGGGGCGAGCAGCAAACCTCCCTAAACAACCCGTCTGGCTGACAGGTTGGCCTGTGTCCCATAGAAGAGGGGAGTCATCAGCTGCTGTCACTTGTCACTTTGTAGCACTGATTCTTGCCCAGTAGGCTGTGATTTCTGGTCCAAAATCCTCCCTGACAGCATTTGTTCTTCCTCTGTCACCAGGGCTCTGGACTGAGGGGAAGAGCTGCGGGTGGAAGGGGAGACTTCTCTCACTGCCAGCAGTAGCAAGCTTGCAGCTCCCCCTCTCCTGGGAATTCATGCTTTCTTCCTGCCATTGTGTTGCCTCAGCCATATCTTCCTTCTTGCCTGCATGGGAACTAGGCACACTGAGCTATATTCCTGCGTGCCACGTGCTTTGTTACATGCCATCTCTTTGCACCTCCCAGTTGCTTGTGGTCCCTAGGTACAAGATAAGTAGGAAGCTGGAAGGAAGTCTGCTCTGCCCCTCCACGAGTTTCCCAACCTTGGCAGAATCTCTCATGCTGCCAGCTGGTTCCTGATTTCCCTTGCCCATGATCAGCAGTGCTCTCCTCCCGTGCTGCAGTCCAGGAGCATTCCTGCCATCCGGCTCTTTGTGAAGCAGAAGGGACTGAGTAAATGACATACAGATACTGCACATCACTCTTGGGCCCAGAGAACCTAAGGGGTAACTTCACGGGTGGGATTATGGTACTGTTCCATTCTATGTTGAGTGTTTAAAAGTCATGTCTCAAAGTGCTTTATTAAAGTATTTTCCCATTCTCCTGCACATGTACTGCTAAAAGACTGCAGAATACCTTCCTGGCTTGTTAGAACTCTTGTGCACAGTTTTGGAAAAGCTCAGGTTTCTCCTCTGCTGTGAGGATCTCTGGATGGTGATCTGTTAATTGCAGAAGTCTGGTATGTTTGGCCAGTGATTGATGAATAATGTTTATTTACTACTTTTAAGTCTTTATCAGAATTGATGTGGTGATATGCTATTCTTCTCATCTATGCAGGTACCAGTGATAGCGATATTGGGTTCAGGAGGTGGATTTCGTGCCATGGTAGGGTTTGCTGGAGTCATGAAAGCACTTTATGAATCAGGAATTTTAGACTGTGTGACTTACATTGCTGGTCTCTCAGGATCCACCTGGTAAGGGTTTTTTCTTTGTTTTTTCTTCAGTTTTTCTTCAGGAAGTTAAAAAAAATGAATTCTCATGGGAGTTGACTTGTTTCTAAGGTTATAGTTCACAGCAGATTTTATGTGTACACTATCAGTACAAAAAAGACATACAGAGACAGCTGTCTTGCAGCACAGCGGATCAGTGGAGCAAGTCTGCTGGTGGAGGTGTTTCAGAATGCCTCGAAGGGTGAGGACAGCTCAGTCTCTAGGTGATCTTCCTAGGAGCTTTGATAGCAGGAATGGATGAAAAGAGGTGCTACACATATGCACCCACATTTCTGTATCAACAGCCAATACCATACATATTAGGACTGTGTAACTGGTTCTTTCATCTTGATAACCAAAAAATTAAGAATTCAGGCCATTGGTATAAATCCAAAATATTTTTTTTGTGTGTGTGTAGTTTTCTTTTCCTGATGAAATGGAAAAAAAAAAAAAAAATTCCTTGTGATTTGAAGATCAACCCAAAATGGATTGTATACTTTTGGGAGACTTTTCAAGAGATTCTCAAAATCATTTTAGACTCAGTAGTCCCCTCCTTAGTGGATTTACTGGGGATGCCTAGGACCTGTTCTCTGATTCTTTCTTAGCGAATGGAGATTCCAGCAAGTGCATTTCAACTCAGAGGAAAGAATACGGATACCCTGGCATGCTGCAGGGCGTCCTGCTATGGATTGCCTTGTTTCACTCCCGTTGTCCCTGTTTAATTTAGAAATGACATTATTTTGTAAAATAGCTTGTTAGTCAAATGGGCGTAAAGATCTTCAAAGATGGCTGAATTAGAATGTTCTAATCAGGTGCTTACGATGTCCTCCTGTCTGAACTAATGAATACTTCAGCCCATTAATGGAAATATCAACAGGAGAAAGTCAGAGCAAGGTCACTGCGTGAAACGCACTCTCTGGGCGTTATGAGCTCAGGGTTTTGTAGGCAGCAGCATGCTTTGAACCCCAGTATTACGTCTGCCTCAACCACTCTTCTGAATGAGAGGGTTTCTCTTCTCCCGACCCAGTGCTGTGAACCTGCAGCCTTTTTTCTTCTTGGCTTTTATAAAATTTGTCTCAAATTACACTTCTTACAAATGTTGAAGCTATTTGTTTTGACATTTCTTAAATGAAATGTTGTAACTTACTTAAATGCTGTGTCATTTTCATCAGCCAAAGACAGCTGACAAATTCAGTCCAAATTTCTTAACTGTTTGGGCTCCTTAACACTATATTTTGTTCATTCAGTGAAAAATTGCAGACTTTTTTTCCTCTAACTTTAAAACATGGTTTTAATGTCAATAGATTAGGTTGCAGTAGAGGATGTTACATCTTAAGAAAATTTTGAACTTTTCAAGGGAGTATCACAAATGTCAACAAAATACGTTTTTATCATAACTGTGCCAGTTTACATACTGGAGCTGCATCTGACTCCAGTTTAGGGCCACCTAGTACAAGAAGGGTGTTGACAAAATGGATTAATTCAATCAGAATACCACCGAGGCAATTAGGGGACTAGAGCACTTGAGGAAGTGAGGCAGCTGGATTTGTTTGTTAGCCTTGAGGAGTAGCCAAAGATAGTGGTGGTGGGAGATCTTACTGTTATCTTCAGCTACCTGATGAGTAGCTGTGAAGAAAACAGACTCTTTTTGGAGACACTCGGAGAAAGGACAAGGAGTAATGGCTGTAAGTTACATCAAGAGAAGTTTGGTTAGCTCTTAGGAATATTATTTTGCAGTGAGAGTGGTCAAGCACTGGAATGTATTGCTCCATCTTTACTTGACTAGTCTGGGTAAGGTGCAACCTCTCTCTGTCTGATTCAGCGAATACTTCATGTGAAAGCAGAACTTGACTGAACAAAGCCCTGAGCAACCTGATCTGACTTTTAAGTTGGCTCTGCATTGAGCAGGAGGTTGGAATAGACACCTTGATGTTCCTTCCAGTCTAAATTATAAAATTATAGGAATGTCTCATTTCTTCAAGAGTAAGGGAAAAAGACTTTTGCTGAAATAGCTGAATATAAATGAGCAGGGGATCTGCCTAGGGTGAGTTTTATCCCCTGCTTTAATTCTAAGGAAGCACATGAATTTTTTGTTCCGCACATTCTGAGAAAATACTCTAACCCCAAAGTTGTTAACTCTATTGAAATAGATAACGATCTGTTCTAGTCCGTGTGTTTTTTGTTTTTTTTTTTTTTCAATTATTCTTCACTTGTGTGAGGCTAACTTCCCCCCTCCCAGACTAGGTAGAAAGCTTTCAGAATGCCAGAATGTTTTGAAATGCCAGAAGTGTCTATGAACTAGAGTAAGTTTCTTGATCAGATTGGACTGTAAAAGGTTGGCCTTGCTGGAACCTGTTTTTTTTATCACTAGTGGTTGGTGGGACAGATTTATCACTGTCTGTTGAGTGATCTGGATATACTTCTGTCAAGTTTGTGAAAAGTGCAATATGTCATTTGGCTGGATGAAGAGCAACTGAATAGTGCAACATAGCATGAAAACTTTTCACTGTGTTTCTAGGGAATGGTGTGTAGCCCACCTTCTGAAAAGGTGTCAGGCAGCTGGCCAGGAGGTCCTTTTATGGGAAATCTTGGGTGTGAATACATAGTTGATCTAATGTAAACCTATAAAATCTGTATTAAAATAACAAAATTATCTGAACTGTTTCAGTCATATGTTGGAAACAATTGTAGTTCCACAAATTTGCTTGTGCTGTCTTGGTGATGTCACCTATTCAGACTTTCTTTGCTTGATGAATAAATGCATCTTTCTTTTCTTTTTTTCCATGCAGTTTATTACTTGGGAATAATGCTCTTTTTTTTTTTTTTTTTTTTTTTTTTTCCTGAAGGGTGGAGATTTCCTTTCCTGACAGGAGAGGCAGGTTTTTGCTTGTTCACTGAGATGCATGCCTAACCTTGGAGCAATGCATTTACCTCCCTGATTGTTTCTGTCATCTTGCTTCAACCTTCTACCGAATTCTTCATCCTGCATTTTCCTTTCTCTGCTCGCATGGAAGCTTGCTGCTGTGTTTGTTCCACCCCCAAGCTGACGTGCATGCTAAGCTTTAGAGACGGCGCAAGGACTAATGAATCAAGTTCTTACGTCATGCATGTGACAGGTCTCATTATGCTGTCAAGTAATTGCTGGGCAGTGATCTCAGGCCCAAGCTTACACAGTGTGTATCTCATTGCTGTGCAGAATTATGCCTGCAGTATGTGTACCTGAGCCAGCTAATTGAATAAATAATAGTGAAATGAGTGTCTTGTAGATTAGGGTGGCCTATCTTGAGTCTTCACCCATAGTATTACGTAAGCCAACCAAGTGCAAGCCACGGTTGTCTCCATGTGTGTCTAAACTTTGTTTTGAGTAAACAAAACTTCTGTTTCCAGAGTTGCTTGGTGACAAAATCAAGATTTGCCTGGTAGGCCTCTTCTGAGATAGGCCTCTTCTTCTTTCTTATCTTCTTCAACTATATCTCTACACAGGTTGTATTTATTGTGCTTCATCTTATTATGAAAACATCTAGATCCTGGAAAGCATGCTGTATACTAATACATTTTAGGAATTTTTGCATAGTGATAAGGAACTGGAAAGAGATGTACATCTTAGAGTGAAAGAACTGCATGTGTGTAATTATAGGACCTCCAGTCTGCCAAATTTAGGTACACTGTGACAACTTGAGAAACTCTTTTGCCAGTTTATGATGGTTCTGTCCATTATCCTTTAAACAGATAAATGAGAAACACTTTAATCTTTTACACCGTACATATTATGGAAATGTATGTTGAGTGTTTGATCGTGTGCTTACATTTAGAACAAATTGTTTAGCTTTCTATGCCTTGAGGAAAAGGAAATGACAATTTACTGTATAAATGATGAGTAAATTAATCTGATTTAATCAGTAATTGGATCAAATTATGAGTTTATTGTACATTTCAGGGAGCTCATATCGTACCAGGCTTTTTGATACTTACAGAGCTTATTTTCCACTGCAGGTACATGTCAACTTTGTATTCACACCCGGATTTTCCAGAAAAAGGACCAAAGGAGATTAATCAAGAATTGATGAACTCTGTGAGTCACAACCCACTTCTGCTGCTCACTCCTCAGAAAGTCAAACGCTACATCGAAGCACTGTGGAATAAGAAAAGCTCAGGGCAGCCTGTCACCTTCACAGATATCTTTGGAATGCTAATAGGTGAAACACTTATCCATAATGTGAGTTCATTTTATTTATGTTTATTAGAGTTGTGAAACTATTGCATGATAACTGCTGTTGCTCTTTTTTTTTAAATGACCTTGGTAACAATTACCAAAGCATGGTTAGCAATAGGAATATTTAAAGTTAAACCTGAACACTGGATGAGAAACTTGTGAAGCGCTTCCCTTGCTCTGAGACATGTTTCTGAACGGTACTCATTTCTTTAAGAACTAGGAAAATATCATGCATTCATGTACAGCAGAAATGTACTCAACCCCTGGGTACTTGCAGCAAGCTCTTAATCTTGTGCATTATCCATTAAAATTACTGTTCAAGCAATTTCAACAAAAAGTTATGAAGTGGCATAACTTCTTTATGCACATTTTGCTGTAAGAGAAGCAGCAATTGTTAAACAAAATACTCATTTCAAGGTGAAAGATCCACACCTCTATTTATTATTACCTGTTTTTCTGGGAAACAAGACAAGAGAAGGACTTCATTCTTTTGTGATTTATTATTAAAAAGTCCTGATTGACTGAATCAGGCACACAGACTTTAAGTTCAAATGAGTCACGTGAGCAGAATTTGGATTTGATCTTATGGTAAGATTGAAATGTGTTAATAGAATCACAGATGTGTTTTATACACTTGCATCTTTCATGAATATACATTACCATTAGGTTTTAAACACTAAAATACTGAAAAACAGGCAATACAGCTTTTAGTAACTGATATATAGGCTAAGTTTCTGATGATGAAGGGATGTTAATGATCGTGTGAGGTTGGTTAGAAGTCCCTGTTTACTAAGGAATTAAACAAATGCACAGATGTTCAGCTTAAATCTGAACCTGACACAATCAATGAATAATGGAAATAAGGCTCTTGGTTATTCACAGATAACACATTTAGTACTATTACATCATCATGACTTTCAGACTTTCTTGACTGCAGACTCCAGAATATTTTCTGGGGAAGATTCAGATCCTTGGTTAGCAAAAGTAAGCCCTTTAATAGTCCATTTGCTTTTCTTAGTTATCTTTGCTGACTTTTGAGAAACAGCACAGATTGAAAAACATTAAATGATCATGATTAGCACTTCTGCCTAGGAGGTTTTTCCTTGTTTCCAACTTTTACAGTAGCAGAGGGAAAGAATTTGCTTTGTCCAGAAATACTGTTTTCTTTTTGGTTGTGTTATTTTGGATTCTATAACACATACGTAATGTAATTTTCTTATTGTGTCTTCTCCCACTCCTTCCTTCCTGAATTGTGCAGTTAAAAGGCATTCAAGCAGATTACTTCCTTTTACAAATGCTTCCGTTCTGTTTTTCTTGGAAGTAACTGAGTTTTCCACATTTCCTTCTCCTTGACAATTTCAGAGAAATTAGCAGTCTCCCAAATATCAGTAGGTCTTTCTAGGATCTGTTTGGACGTAATGTCTTTCTTTTCATGCAGAGAATGGACACTACTTTGAGCAACATGAAGGAGAAAATCAATAACGCACAATGTGCTCTCCCTCTTTTTACATGTCTCCATGTCAAACCAGATGTCTCAGAGCTGATGTTTGCAGGTATGTTTCCTGTTTGTGTACGGAGTCACCTGTGAAGACAGAAGTTCTTAGCTGGCAAAACCCCCTATTTTTTAATAATTCTGAGAATAATTGTGTCCTGAAACTTGGTACACTTCGAAATTACTAGTTTTATCACAAGGATTAGGAAGGAATTTGCCATGATATGAAACATTCTTTGGGGCTTAACAAAATTTGCATTGTTGTGAACTGAGTACAGGGAGATTTTAATTTATAAAAAGACTAGGAAGTCACGATGTTGAAGCATATACCAAACAGGCACATCGTAAGGACTGCTCTGGTGAGTTTTAAAAGGTGATTGGAAAATGGACACGATTGTGTTCATCAGCTTCTGGGAATCTGGCAGTAGAGTCTGAAGACAAGAAGTTGGGCAGGTGGATATTTATTCGGTTGGTGCGGTATTTGCACCAAGGTTACAGGGCTGTGGAGAACAGACATCAAATGGGCGTATTTCTCATGGCGTGCCATGGAACTGAGCCTTTTCTGGGCTTTTAAGATGCATCTTTTCCTGTCCATGGAAAGACAAACAGATTGCATTGTAGGTCAAGGGCCTTTTATTTCTCTATCATTCTTGGGTTTAGAGACTTATTCTTAGACAATTTCATAACTGTACATTTTTTTTTTAATTTTTAATCTGAAAATAAGTCTAACACCAGAACAGCCTCTTTAGGCTTCTGTGAAATGTTAAGTGGTGGCCAAGTTTTTCTCTCTATATGTTAGCAAAAAAATTATTTCCTAACAGTTGAAAAGAATATTGCTTATCCATGAAGTAGCTAAGTACATTTCAGCAGCCAAGACAAAAGGAAAGCTGGTGGTGTTCCTCCAAGAGCAGAAAGCTGCTTAACATTAGTGTATCAAACAGGTAAAGGGAAATTTCTTCAGTCACACAAGATTATTTATCTTTCTAAGAACAGTGAAATTAGAGCTGAACAAACAAATCAGATATACTACCTCTTTTTTACTTCTTGCACGATGTAAAGTACTGTTGGTAACACAAAATGGGCTTTTGCCTGCCTTTATTCCGTAGGTTTTAGTCCCATCTAGTAGCCTCAGTTGAGAGTGGGTCCGATTGTGCCAGATACTGTACAGAGAACAGGATCTGTACATCTATATAGTTGTATATAAGTCTGAGAAGGGAAACACCAAGTAGCTTGCCCAAGGTTTGTGAGACATTGTATCCATATTTGCTAAGAAGATTCTGTGGAAAAGTTGCTGTCAAAACTTTGTTCATAAATACAAATTAGGTTGTAAATGAGGTTAATTTTTTCATGGGAGAGTGTTTACTTTCCTCCTTAGGAAACTGAAAACTTTTTTTTTTGAAAACAAAAGTAATTTGGTTTTTGATGAGCTTCTGTTTTCTGAAATATTTTAGTTGGGTTACTTCTTTACCGCTTTAAAAAAAATTATCTTCAGTTAATAATGGCCTTCTCTAAGCAAGACCAGAAGTGCCCAAATACTGGTCTAATTTCTCTAGCCTTACCCAACTGGTCTAAAAAAGGTATTGCCTCTGCCAGTGGATCTTTTACTTTTTTAGGGCTATCATATATAGCACTATATAGGATGCTAGATTTTGATCGTTTCTACTGTAAGGTTTTTTTTGACCTTTTAGAACTGAACAGCTATTCTTGCTGTGAAATATATAGTAAATTTTGAACAGAAATATTTATACTTTCTTATTTACTAGATTATAGATGTAGGTGAGGTCTTTCATGTTGTTTCAAGTTGAAATGCATTAATTATATCAGATAACATTCCTTCCAGCTGTGATGGTGCAAGATTTCATGCAGCTGCTAATAGCTTTCATGCCCCGGGCTCTCCATGTTTTCCCTACCAATAGCATTTCTGACCAGGTGGCGCCGGCCATACCCCAAACTGCAGTAATCATTTTAACTGAACATAATTACAGTGATTTAGTTAAAGACAGACTTTTTTTTTTTTTTTTTACATTACTATCGCTTCTTTCATGATAAGAAATTACCTGAAGATCCTGATAGCCAGTGTTAAAGAGGGGAGCGGAGTTTAATGTTTGGCTTTGGTATTGCATGCTTCCATCCCCTAACAGCCTTGTTCACCAGCTTTGCTGCTGCTGCAGTACCAGACCAGTCAGAATTTGGATTTGGGGGTTTTGCTCTTGGGAGTCATTATAGGAAACTTACTGTCTGCGAGAGGATGAGCGTGTGTGTTGCCCCGCAGCAGGGGGGCTGCTAACGATGGAGCTCGTTTGGGCGGCCGGGCTGCCTTGAGGTGTGGCTTCGTGGCTCTGGGGTCCCAGGCTCCAGGCTCCGGGGGGTCCTGCGGTCGGTGCTCGGTTAGCCTTCTTCATGGCACGTACTGGACTGGGTGTGGGGCTTTGGTCTGCCCCACATGCAGCAAGGCTGGACTGCAAAGTGAATCTGGTCTCAGTGTGTGAGTGCAGTGCATGCATATACATGCCCAGTCCTGAATCTGCTACATGCTTAATGTCGGCAAAATACACCTCTCTGTCTTCCCTCCTGAGGACAGGAAAAATCTGTTGCATCTTCAGCTGGTGTGAAGCAGTGATCTGACTTACATCAGGGCCACATCCAAAATGCAGTGAACAGAGCTGAGAGGTTTGACTTTACTACATTTTAGATTAAGCCACAGCCAGGAAACTAGCCCCGTTTACTGGGGTATAAACACTACGTGTTTCTCTTCATGTAGAGTTCTTGTCTCTATGATCATTCGAGTCGTGCTCATTTAAATGGCCACTGTCTCAGGTGGCTTCTGGAATGGCAGAAGCTAATGCTGAAGCCCTTTAATTTCAAGGCAGAAATCGTATTTCCCTAGGCAGGATACGTGATTTGAGAAATCATCTTCAGCTCAAATACAAAATGAAAGTGGACTATCACAGATTAAATTAATTCGAATTCTAAATTGAGTTTCACTGTCAACATGGGTCTGAACACATCTGCCAATTCCTGTTTATATATCTAAAAGGAAATACCATTAAATTCTTGGACTGGGTCTTCAAAGGAATTTCCTTCTACTCCAATAAATGTGAAGATCTGTGGGTGGTTTATTTGGAAAATAGGATGTTGTATTTGACTTAGCATAGATAAGCATTGCCCCATGAAATGAAACTCTCAGCAGTCATGATTAAGTCTTTCCTTTTCAGGACAAGTGGTTAACCTTATGCTTAATATTTCAACAGAAACACTCAATATCTTGAGGAGTGGATGGCATCCTATGACTTGTGGGGATTTTTCAAAGCTGTTTCTTTTGCCTTTCTGTTTCTGAATTATTTCTAATTTGTTTACAGAAACAGTCAAATCAATCACTACCGAAAACATATAAGATAAAATAGATGAAAGCGTGAAGTACTAAAAATGTAGGGTATTTTTTGCTTGTTATTGCTCCCTTTCTGAAATGAAATCTCTGATGTAAGCAACTCCACTGGTATCAAAGAAAATATTTCAAAATCAGCTAAAATCCATCTTCAAAAAAGGCATCATAGGATGTAAATCACTTCTGAAGTTTTCTGCTAAGATCAGAAAATGCATTTGAACATGTCATTCCATATTTTTATTGAGCTCACTATTCAATAAAATGGCATGTACTTTTAAAAATATGTTTGGCATTGTTTGTTATTGATTGTTATTAAATGTTTCTCAGCTGCGGCTCAGCATTGCCTTTTTATCTTGGATTTCACCAGAAACTTTAGGTTTTGGTGGAATCAAAATGCCTCTCCTAGAATATTTCACAACTTTTGTAATATTAAATAATTTTTCTGCCACTTTGTCACTGCCCTCCACATTTTTGGTAGGATCACAGTGAAGGAAAAGAAACTTGGAACTAAGACCCACAGTACATTTCATGTGACAGGGAATTGTATTGAAGCATGAGATTAAAACCAGATGTCATTTTGTTTTTCTCATTCATGATTGGTACTTTTATGCTTCTGTTTTTACAACCTCATATTTTTTCACCAAATTTTGTTGTGATAAGAGAATGAGAATTCCTTCTTGCTGAGACATTAGACTGTCCTTCATTTGAAATCAAAATTTTGACTTTTGAACCATTTAAGAGATATTCCTGTTGGTTATTTAGCTTCCCATTTAACTAAAATTTCTTTGCCTGGACAGAGGTTTAATTTGTTTGTGTGTTTTCATCATGTTTCTATTCAGGTTGAGATTGCTAACAAAGCACAATTTTGTTTCTTATTTTGCAGACTGGGTAGAATTTAGTCCCTATGAGATTGGTATGGCAAAGTATGGCACTTTTATGTCTCCTGATTTGTTTGGAAGCAAATTTTTTATGGGGACAGTGGTGAAGAAGTATAGTGAAAATCCCTTGCATTTCTTGATGGGTGAGTATGTGACAGAAAGAGACTTTAAAATGAAACTAATTTCAGTAGTTCGTGGATAAGGGCTTTTAAATGCAGTCACACAAAGCATGAGGCAAGAAGTAGAGATCTCAGTTTGTTGGAAGAGATCCATTTGAAAGGTTTCATAGACATGGATTGGCATTGCCTGTTTTTTGTTTCTGGTATGTACATCTGAGCTTATGATTTAGCATGTTCCAAAATCAGAGGTGTGTTCAGAGAGTAAGCAACTGCTTAAATAGTGCAGTATATGTTTTTTTTTTCTTCTACCAGTCCCCACTCATTGTTTACTTTTTCCCTTTCAGGTGTGTGGGGCAGTGCATTTTCTATATTATTTAACAGAGTGCTTGGCGTCTCCAATTCTCAGAATAAAGGTCCCACCATGGAAGAAGAATTAGGTAATATTAGTAACTAATCCTTCAACTATGCAGAACAATTACTAGCAAAATTCAGTGCACCCTCATTCGGTGGAAGGATGGCAGTCTGCTGGTAGTCATTTTAAGAATGTGGAATTCAAGTAACTTTGACTGCTGACATTTCTGGATGCTGATGAGGCTCTGGGGAGACCTTCGAGCGGCCTCCCAGGGATTAAAGGGGGAGTAGGAGAGGTGGGGAGGTGGGTCAGGGGGTGTGGGGGTAGGATGAGGGGTGACAGTTTTAAACTGAGAGAGGGGAGATTTAGGTGAGATCTAAGGCAGAAATTGTTCCCTGTGCGGGGGGTGAGGCTCTGGCCCAGGGTGCCCAGAGCAGCTGTGGCTGCCCCCTCCCTGGAAGGGTTCAAGGCCAGGTTGGACAGGGCTGGGAGCCCCCTGGGCTGGGGGAAGGGGGCCCTGCCCGGGGCAGGGGGGTTGGGACTGGGGGGGCTTTAAGGTCCCTTCCAACCCAAAACATTCAGTGATTCTGTGATTCTATCCAATTATTTGCATGAAGTTAAAAGAATCCAGCTCCCTTTTTTATGTTGTTATGCTAGTTTTTGAAGACCAGGAGCTGACAAATACTTGATAGTTACTTGTGTAGTCTCTTGATACTGAACTGTGTTGTTCAAGGGATTCATAAAGTAAAACCAAATTTCCAAATTTTACCATCTCTGGATTGTTAGGTTGCTCCATTCTAACCACATCACCTGTTGGTATCTGATCCTTCTCTTACTAATTTAATGATTTGGGTTTCATTCTTTGTGCATAAATGGCATAATGACTATAAGGAAATAATTGTAGCGTGGTTTGGATAGATTTCACTGTATTTTATTCAAGAATGCAGTTGATAATGAAAGGGGGTTTTACACTTTTTTTCCTATTCAGAAGTTCGCATTACAGAGAAATATATAACCAATAAATTGTACAAGATAGCCAGATTTTTCTGAAGAGCATGGAGAGAAAATGCAGATTGAATTGATTTTAACAAAGCAACAAAAAAAAGAAACCCAGGCCTGTCTCTGTCTCCTAATAGATGGTATTCAGCTGTTTGATAATGTACTTTTTTATGGATGGAAATGAGACCTGTGCCTCCAGGTTCTTATTTGTCATGCAGCTCATGAGTGTTAGCACCTACTAATGGAGGATCTCTGTCAATAAATTTGATAGTGGAGAAGTCTCTCTTACTGCTTTTTAAGATGTTGAGAGACAGAATGTTATTTCTTATCTGTGCCTCATTTCACATATAACTTAAAAAATATGCCTTGAAGTGGGATTGATTAGATGTGACTTGAACCACAATCTATTACCAGAGCTGAAGACGTCCCAATGAAACCTTGGTGCCACCAAAGTGAATGGCAAAATGCCAGTGAGCATCAGAAGAGCCGGTGTTGCACACAGCATGTGTAAATCACACCTAGAGCAGTAAATAATAAATTTTGCATAGGGGTTTCTTTAAAGAGAAGATTTCATGTCCAAAACTTGCATTTGCTGGTTTTGTTAGCTTCATCTTTTGGTCACTAATTTTAATTTTGATGTGTCTCCTGTGTCATTGCTCAAGAATTTGTACATGTTTGTCTTTGGTGGGTGTTTGTCCATTAGTGGTATTTGAGTAGTGATTGGGGACCCACTGAGTATAACAAAGAAAAAGTATTTAAGGAAAAATACGAGATGACTAAAGTCTTCTGGTTTTCTGGGGACTTTTAGTGTTGCATGTAAGTCTAAGAGGGCATAATCTTCTTTAGAAAAAAAGCAACAGTGCTGGTCATCTGTATCCAGTATTCATTATTAAAGGTAATAAAACTGTGGTTTTTTCCACTTGATATTACAGTGACTCTTCAGTCTTCTCTTTCAGTCAGTCATGCTTGTAGGAATTAGATTTAGACTTAAGCAAAAAGTTCAAAATGTAGTTGACATTGTTTGGATACTGCATTTGGTAGAAATTACAACATTTGTTGGAAATTACAGCCCAAAGCAGGGGTACGCCACCAGAGACCAACATCTATGTTATCCTTCCGTGAGAAAAAAAGTAAATGTTACTTTATTTTCATTTTTTAATGGAAAAAAAACAATCAGTTGATATTATGTTCAAGTTCATTAGGAAACAACCCTCATTCAGTTTATTTTAACTGGCTTCAAATGTCAGTTAGAGACAATTCCTAGCATACATTATACTAGAGAATAAAGGGGTTTAGTTTTCAAAAGTCTTCTCTTGGATACATTTGCATCACTGCACTTCAATCCCTGTCTCCACTCTGTAGGATACAAGCTTCCAAGATGAGGCTGCTTATAAAACATTGCAAATCTACTGTATTTCAAGAAAGGCTTCCCTACATAATTAGCAATAATAACGTTATCAGCTTGTGATCCATTCTCACATGAATTCACCTCCACTACAAACCTTACCCGAGGGGTGGAATGTGTTACTTTTTTAGTATTCATTTTGACTTTGAAATAATGCCTTGAGAAGGTAATGAACAGTTAACAATGACTTTGTGGTTGGTTTGGATACAAAGCTGTTAACTCTAACAAAATTAAGGTTTTTGCCAGAGAAGTTCACTCATTTCTGTTTTTATTTCTCCCACTTAATGTTATGAGGTGAAAACCATTGTCTTTTCTACACATGTAACTGCGTGGGCCTTTATTTTTCACACATACTTCAGCAGAACTTTCATAACCATCTTGGTATTTAGTTTCTCAGCCCTTTGACTAATCTGCTTAGCTCAGGAGCTTTACAAAAATTACATGCTAAAGCCAACATATTCTGACCAGATTCTCAGCATAGAGATGGCCACAGCAGATCGAATCTCTTCAGCTGTATTTTCTATTACGAAGGCTATGATAGTTTTATGACTCAGATTGTTTTGAAATTCTTAGTTGTTCTGACAATTAAACCCCAGCAGTTTAAAGTAATTTTAGATTTCTTTCAACAGAAAACATTAGGCTGAAGCACCTTGTAAGCAATGACAGTTCAGACAGCGAAGATGAATCACAGCGTCCAAAAGGTAAGGAAATCCTCACATTTTATTTCATAGTTTACTTTTTTCATCAGCTTTCGTGTAACATGGTCAAGCTTGTGGCTGCTGGTAATTAGCCATAGCCAGTTTTCCTTAGCCTTACTGATAGTCTCTTACAACTGAGAGCTCTGCTCTCATTTATACCAATGGTAAAACTTAAATTGCCTAGCCCAAGGGTCTTAAAGAAGCCAGTGGCTCGGCAAAATAGAGAAATGTTGAACAAGAGACCTCAGGAGGGCCTTTGGCTTGACTCCACGCCTCCTGCTCAAGCGGGTGATCAAATGATTCTCTCACACATCTTCAGTCTTGGCATCAGCCCAAGAGGGCTTCACAGAGGTCAGCAATTTTGCACACACCCAGAAATTAGGCTTGTGGAGCCAGTGCTCTCCAGAAGTCTGCTGCCAGCAAGCTACTGAGCTCAGAGACGTGTTGGAATTGTTACCAGCCCAGCAGAACTAACGCTATCCATTGTTTTCAAGGGTTCCTTGATCAAATATTTACCCGAGAATGGTTTAATTTGGGTTTCCAGCATTCACAGATGTCTTCTAGCACCTTTACAAATGACATCTGATACGGGAAATTCCTAGTGGTTGGCACAATATTTTAAACAATGACCAAATCCAGAAGAGGCACAACAAGGGGGAAACTTTGGGCAGTAGGAAGATTCCAATGAAAATTATCTTTAGGTAGCTAAACCACCTGGGGATTTCTGTGGTTTTAGTCAGGGTCTCTGTCTCATCCTAGTAACGCTTTCTGTATTTGATGATACGTTTGGGGACAACCGTGATTTTCACTTGAAGAAATTGATTATGTTTCTAACAACTAAAGCAAAGATGGGAGTGCAGCTCTTTGTAATTTTAGGATTTACAGGAAGAAAAGAAAATCTTATGTGATGAGACAGTGAATTATATCATTAGCTCAGTTAAATGATGACTTCTTCAGTTCCCCTTATCTGTAAAATACGAGGGGGAGGGTGATACTACATTTTGTATTTATTTGTGGATTTCCTATTCAAGCACTATAGCCAGCGTGAAACACTACATTTCTCTCATAGTTTGTAGTCATAGTGGACAACCTACAAATCTGTGATTTGTAAACACTTGGTAATCCCTCTCACTTACTGTACAGATGTTAGACCTCTCAACTTTGTGGTGTTTGATGCTTGTTCTCTCCCTACTGACATGAAAATCAGCTCCTTTAAAGCCTGGATTAAAGAGACACATTTCAGTGCTGGATTTAAAGTATCAAGCCTGAGCTTGAATTACCTTCTTATGCAAAACACCCCAAAAAGTCATGTTTTGACAGTTTACAAATACAAGGTATTGCCAAGCCAACTCATTCCTACTGCGACATCTAGGAATAGACATTTAAGTCTGGCCATTTCATTGTACTTTTTAGTTAAATAAAACCAGATATTGATTGTAGTTTATAGTTTACCGTAAGGATATTTGCAGATATTTTAGAATTCCCACACTATAGCATTCTCTTTTATGTAGACTAACTTTTCCTTCTTGAGGAAAGCTGAGTTTCTAGCAATCAGCAAATGATGAAAAGGGGTGTCAATACACGTCCAAATGAATATAGGTCTGCACAGAGTATGAATCTTGGCAGCTCAGGTCTGTCCCCTGAGCCCAGGAGAGTTTGCATTCTGAGTGCTGGGACGGATAAAGCCATATCCTCATTACCCTTTTCATTCAGACTAACTAAGTCTGGCTCAGGTCATCTAACACTTACCAATCTATTTGCCTGATGGACACATCCACACAACTGTACTGCAGATGAAAACTTTCACTGGCCTGTGAAGTTAAGAGGATGGTTTCTCTGCGTTCGACTGAAATTCATTCAGTCTCGAAAGAAGCCTATGACCCAGTTCCTTTTACTTGAATAGGTCCTTTATGTTAGTAGACCCAGAAATCTTGGTTTTATACTTTGTATGTTAACTGTCTCACCCTTGGTTATTTCTCTTTTCCTGTATAGGCACTGAAAATGCTGAGGGGAATCAAGAATACCAGAACAGCAGCCAAGAAAGCTGGGTGCAGCGAATGCTGATGGCTTTAGTGGGTGACAGTGCCCTTTTCAACACCAGGGAAGGGCGCGCTGGGAAAGTGCACAACTTCATGCTGGGGTTGAACCTCAACAGCTGCTACCCGCTCTCTCCTCTGGCAGACCTTCTCACTCAGGAGTCCGTGGAGGAAGACGAACTCGATGCAGCTGTTGCAGGTTAGTTCACAGAAAGCCTGGGTTGCTGCACGCTCGGTAAAACCAGAAACAGCGAGTGTTCAGCGTGGTAACATCGAAGTAGGAGGCTTACAACAGCACGTACCGGCAGGCAGGAGAATGTTTCTATAGCAGCAGTTGTGAGTAGTGATCAGCAGTGGAGGCTGTGAGGGGACTGGGTGCCTCAAAGGGCACCGCACAGTGACTTCTGTCTTCTGCCTACCTCCTCTGCCCCCTGGCAGAGCGTGCAGAGCAGTCAGTGCCTTTTGGAGGGAAAGTGGCTTTTCAATTTGAAGGAATCGCTGGCAGAGGTGACCAAACTGCTCTTGTGCATGGTGCCCTTCACTAAGGCCACCTTCTTACTCTCTTGGACTTCTCCAAAGGGTATCCTGTGTTGTTCCTTTTCTCTTACTGATGCTAAGCCTTCTGGTGGAAATAAAACCTTTCCTTGTTCTCCTACAGGGCTTCCCCGTTGCAAAAATTTTGTAGCCCTTCTGCTGTCTTGTATTCCTCTGACAAACCTGTGGAGGCAACACACTTCTTTTATTTGTAGGTCCTTGCTTTGCTGGCTGCATGTTCTTCCCACCGTGACTGATCTGTCAAGTGCATTCACATTTCACGTGTGGTTGATACGCAGGTGCATCCACATTTCATGTTGTCTTAAGCAGGAATGCAGATGGAAAACAAGAATTTCAGAAAAATGTTAATTTGCAAAAGAAACTCAATGTCTTCCCCCCCATCCATGAAGTATATGGTGTCTGGAACAGTAGCTGCAAAGAATTAGAAATCACATTTTATTAGTATTTAAAGATTTGTTGTAGGTGGTGTTCATTACAACCTTCTAAATGAAAACTGAATAATTTCTTAGTGTTCTTCTGGCACTGGTGCTAAGTATGTGAGTAGACCTATAGAAAAGTTACATCACAGTGAAGATGGATACTTGGTGGAGCCTCCACACATGGTTTCTGTGATACAAACTCTAATGCTTCTGGATTATTACAGATGATTACTGACATCCATCAAGCCAAGGAACTACAAAGCTCTGAAAGTGGTGTTCCTTCTATGTTCTTGTGTCGTGGCACAGCACTACCAACCATCCCTTGTAATAATAGTAGTCTCTTCAGCCCTTATTTTCTATTCAGAGGAAAGAGATTGTCCTTGCTGGCCACTACGCAATAGTAAATACCAGATGTCATTTAAAAGCTGAAGGAGCAGACGCGCGCTAATGTGTATTTGTTAATGTATCAAATCCCTTTGAGTGGTAATTTCCATCTGTACTCCACTTTCTAAATATTTTTATCATCTCAGAGGTGTTTACAACTGGGTAGTCTTAATATTTATAGTAGTTGTAAAAGAGGCAGGAAAGCGGGTAGTAAATCTGTGCTTGGAAAAAATGACAGTTCATGACAATTTTGCATATTTAAGACATGGATAATCTTCAGAATCAACTATCAGCTTCCTGGGTTTTATCTTCAATTGAAATAAAATGCTTGTTTGACAGAAAGAGCCTGTACCTGAGACAATTATTTTTGAGTGCCTGAAATTTCTTTGGGTGACATGTCTGGCAGAAGTGTGACATAACTGCAGTTTTTTTAGTGTTAGCTGAAGGCCACACTTATAAACCTGAACTAACAACTCAAATCTAACAGCCATGAGTAGTTGCAATATTATGGTCAAGAATAGCTAAAAAAACCCTTGTAATTTCAGTAGTTAATACACAATTTAATCATTCAGTAGTGTGATAGGTATATCCTCATTTTAATGCTGTGAATTTTGCTAATATATGTGAGAGCCTAGGAGCCCAGAGGAATAGATAGAAAGGAAACTTTGGTGTAAATTTAAAATGCTGTATATTACCAAGGCACTGGATACATTTAAGCTTTGCATATTTATTCCTATCACTAGCAGTTTACCTATCAGCTTGAGTACAGAGAGAAGTCTGAATTGCCTTAGGACTTACTTTCTCTTTATTACCAGATGCTCCAGAGGAGAAATAAATGAATCAAAAAGGATATAAATAATACTTTGCATCTCCAGTTGTCTCAACCCTTCTGTAGACCCATGAGTTGTGCTGCAGAGGATGAACTGTGGCACGCCTAAGCCGATGGTAGAGTCATTACTGAGGATTGTATTTAGTGTCTGCAGTGCATACAGCAGAGATCCTACCTGCTTGATTTGAAAGTGAAATGCTTGGCTTCACTTTGCTGTGGATTCTGTTTATGCTGAGCATTTTCTTAATTGATTTCAAGTATGCTTTAAAACTTCACATCCCTTGAATGATTTCACTGTGAACTTAGAGTTGTTGTGTTTCTGTGTCTTGATGTTACAACACACCAAAATCACTTGAGAAAATGCCAAGTGAATAACAATAGGGAAAAAATAACTCATAATCTCTGCTTCCTTATTTCAGTATTTATGGGAAATCTGTTGTAGTAGATGCACGTCAGTAGCAAGTGCCCTTTTCATCTCCCGTAATTCCATGAAGGCTGCCATCTGTGGCAAAGTTTGGTCTCTAGAACATGCTCTCTTGTTTATTTCCAAACAATTCTTAATATCCATTTGTGTATCTGATCACTGCAGATCAGATAGGCACGCCGTGCTGGTTTCACACAGAGCTGTACTCATAAACACCTTGTGCTTCTCCCGGTTTGCTGTTTGATGGACTGAAAGCTCCTTGTAACATGGAGGCATCTTTCATAAAAGCAATCTGCATGGACTGAAAGTTAATGTCCTGGGCTCTCAGAGTATAAATAGTCCACTCAGTCTTCGTTCTGCTTGATGAATAGTGATAGGTTGACTTGCCAGGGCTGCTAGAGTATATAGAACGATTGTCCTGGATTCCTGCGTTGGAAAGTATAAAAAGAATAAAGCTTTCTTATCCAGCCCTTCAGAATATCTACAGCCCAGGTTACAGAGTAGGTGACACTTCTTTTAGCATCCGGGATGCGCCTCGCACGTTACAGCTCTCCCGGGAGCAATTGCGGGCTCGCCGGCAGTGCCCTGACCCGCGGCTCAGGCTGCCCGCTCGCCCTGCCTTGCCGGGGCACTGCGTGCTGCTTCTGGCCTCTGCCTCCACACCCTCTGTAAATCAGATCAAATCTCATGCTGAGTCTGCCTTTCAAGTCGTGTTGTTACAATAGCACGGGACTATCTTCATACCTTTTTGAATTTTGACCCTGTAACATGGACGCAAGTTGCGCTTTGAAACTTTTCTTCTCAGTTCAAAAATGAGAAATGTACTTCTAGAATTAATTGTGATCACAGAAGACCACAACTAATAAAAACAATCCACGTGGTCATTATAAATTTATTGATGGCATGATAATGTTTTATCATTTAAAATATCATAAAATTACTACAATAAATTCGACTGTAGAGTCATGAAGACTGTAAGCAATAGGAATTGTCTTGTTCTTCAGTGCCTTTTTGGTACGAAGTTTGTGTGTGCAGTAACACTCCTAGCACAAACGTTATTCCAGGTGATACTGTTCTTGTTTAAAGGACCACTGTTGACTTTCAAATTTAAAGTTTGTAAAATAAGTACGCAAAACCTGAACAAAAGTGTTTCTGCAATTTTTAGAATTTCCATTGCAAACAAGGTTTAAATTATGTTTGAAATGTTATCTTTAAAAAAGGTGGATGGAAACAAAACTTGTCTACTTGTGCTAAAAGAATCTGTAGGAAGTATATTTTTTTACCAGTGTTTTTTTCAATTCTGATCAACTTGATAAATACAAATATATTTTCACTGATTTATGCTAATTCATGGTTATGAAATATACCTGGTTCTAAAATAGGCCTATAAACACAGTTAGCCCTTTAGCAATAGGCAATGATTTGAAAGTGTTTTCTCCATTAGAAATCAAGGCAAATACTAGGAAACCAGTGCCTCCTTTCTTAGTAAAGTGCATAAATAATAACAGAAATAAAAAGTCAAAATATCTGTTCTAAGATTATTTGTGCTGCTCATGAGAATAAATTTTTCTCGTGGATCTTGAAATGACGGGAACTACAATTTGAATTATTTTTGATGGATTTTCTTCACATTAAAATACCTTTTTTTCAGATTGCTTCCATTGCCAGCAAGTATGTGTGAGGAAATTTAATTATACAAGAAGTAATTATATTATTCTATTCAGCATTCCTTAGATTACACTGCCCTCTACAGATAACAGCATTAGAATTTTAGCCAAAGGCAAAAACATGCACTGAAAATATTTTTAGAATCTAGAGCAAGAAAAGACTGTCAGGAGAAAAGTTTTAGTATTGCAGGGATCATTTAATAGTATCCAGAGACTTGGGTAAGTGGAAAGACACTTATGAAAAATTGCTTGGTTTTCCCTGAGCTGCAACCAGAGAATATTGGGGTTGAAGGGGAAACATCATCTTCTTCAGCCTTTGGTTTGGGCATTAGAGATTGGAGACGATTTTCTACTGTACTGTGACAGTAATAGCAGTAAGTGGCTTACGTGTAATTCTGCCCCATGCTTAAATTTCAGATTCGGATATGGGTTACCGTTTCTTTTTGTTCCTAGTATAGTAGTGAGTGTGTGTTCATGAGATGTGGTGTAGGCTGAAAAACAAGGCTTGATGGTCGTAATTTCAGTGGACAGAAGCAGACACAGACAAGTGTCACACAGGAGCAGAGCCACATCAAGGCTTTTCAGGCAAATTTCGGTTATTCGGGGAAGAGGAGCTGGGAAGGACAGGGGATTGGGAGGGAACCTAAGGGACGAGGTTTGGACAGGGGTTGTAGGATACTGGGGGGATGTACAGTAGGAATCTCTCTCTTAATGTCCCATAAACACTTTGTGTAGGGGTTGTTAGGGATGACGGGGTAAAAGTGAAAGGCTAGGGTCAAACCCGGGCCTTTGCCTCCCGCCACCTTTGCTTCTGCCTTGGGACAGGGCGTTTGTGTGCTTGCCTGACTGAGGTCCCTACCTGCTCTGTTTTTTTCACCTCACTCTCCAGTTGTTAAGACGAGAGTTAAGGTTACACATCAATTCATGGTATGTTGAGCTGGGATATTGTACATTTTAAATTCTGTGGAATCTTCAGTACTTGGGGAAACACTGGAAAGCCCATCAAAATTTCAGTTCTTAACTCGTATGTTCCCGTTTTGTTTTGTTTTCATTTGTTCTATGCAGATCCTGATGAGTTTGAGAGGATATATGAGCCACTAGATGTGAAGAGCAAAAAGATTCATATAGTGGACAGTGGACTTACATTTAACCTGCCATACCCACTTATCTTAAGACCCCAAAGAGGCGTCGATCTCATCATCTCTTTTGATTTTTCAGCGAGGCCAAGTGATTCCAGTCCTCCTTTCAAAGTAAGTGAGATAGGTCATTCCTTCCTTTGTGTTCATAAATTTAAATTGACTGAGTTGTATTCTTCCAGTCCGCTGGGTTGCACATTTCATGTCTCCAGAAGACAGCTTCTGAGCTACTGTATCGACAGCATCAGAGCAATTTGTTTCTGCGTCAAGACAGAATATTGCACTCTGCCTCAGTTCCTGTTTACATGACTCACATGAGACAATTGACACAAAGAAGGCTAATATAATGCGTTTGAAGGAGCAGCTCTGTTGTTTTTCTGGAAGTCTTCCCTTCACACAGAATTGCAGAATTTTATTTTATGTCAGTATTAAACAATTAAGTCAGTAATTTACCACTGTGCTGGTGCTCTAGCTCTGTACAGCTGTCCTCCTCTGTGATGCTGTGATGTGAATGAATGGTTTTCTGTCACCATCTTGCAGAAATGTGTCTCAGTCGCTCTGGTATTGCTCAATATATAACATTTTGGAAGTGGAGCTAACTGTTCATTTACATCTCACTAGGATAATCCCAATACTGGTTTAAGTAGGATTCCTAAATCCGTTTAGGCCAGAGCAAAGCAACAACAGAAAAATAGGGGTTAAATGACGTGGCCGTTTTCTGTAGCAGTTGTGGAAAGCACAGCTGTCCGTCTGTGTGACCTGTGCCACCTGCACATCCAGACAGCTCCCACTGAAAAGAAAGGGTTAATGTTGGATCATTTTGGTAGCTGACGGAAAAAGCAGCACTTAAGAGACTGTTGCGAGGTTCTCAAGGAAGAGGCAATATTTATTTGAAACCCAAGTGGAATTTTAAACATCATTTTTAAGTAAACCAAGAAAACATGCCTGTTTGGGAAACAACTGGCATTTTTTGTTGCTTTACAGACAAATTTCAATTAGAAGAGAGTATTTTTTTCCTTCCTCTTGCTATTGAGGGATGAAACCCCCAAACAATGTTAGAAGATAACGGCCGTAGCAAAATGAACTCTAGATCAGTATTGTTAAGTGCAAAGAATGACAAGCTTCAGGAGAACAAAAAGGATCAACTTCTGTAATCTCTAGGTCTCTTGGGAGCTGCTAGAAAGAACAGAGCAAGGAGAAGACTCTTACTAGTGCTGAGATCCTTCATTTTTCCTTAGTTAACTGAATCCCACAGTCTGTTTCTTTTTTTAATGTTCTTTCATATTAGATTTCATGATGAAGTATTTTCCCCATCATCTAAGTTTACTGACACAGCACTGCCATCTCCTCTGGAACATCTTTTTCCTCCGTTTGTTAATGTTGTGCACGTGGAGTCTGTGTGGAGTCCTCTCTGTTGCTCCTAGCCTATCCATTGAACTTTTTGTCTCTGCCAGCTGCAATTTTCTGTGTCATTTTGGGGGAACATACCATGACACGGAGAGATTGATTAGAAGTCAAGTGCTACCCTGAAGGTTTTTCTGTAAACTCTAATTTCAAAAAGGCAAAATCCTTTTACGCAAGAAAAAATGGTAGGAAAATTAAATGGTGCCATAGGTTTTCGTGAAGCCACTGTTGAAGGGAATGGTTCATTATTTCTGAAGCACAAATATGTGTATAATAAAAAGAGTGACGTAGCTCCAGCTAATACACAGGTACAGTCCACAAGCAAAGGCTGTATGTTAATGGCCTAAAGGACAGAAACCAGTTTGGTTTACTGGCTGTGCAATCCCATTGGTTCTGCTTGCATTGCAAAGAGTAAATGCCAGTTCAAGAGTTGGCCTGTATCTATGCTAGTGCTCTAATATCCTTTTATTACTCCGACACATAGGGAAATTAGCCAGCTGCAGTCAATGACTCTACTCTTCTTTTATCATTTTACACCCACTATCTTTTCATCTCTTGCGTATCCAAAACAGTTGCCGAAAGAAGGGTCCTGTTTCATTCAAAACCAAGATTAAAGATGTTGACCTTCCCTCTCCTCCCTCTCACACACCCTCATTACACGCTTTTGAGTCATTATTTACAAATTATTTTGTTTACTGAGTTGCCACGAGGCAAAAAAAGCCTGTTTTCCAGACTTAATTCTTCACCGAGCATGCTTTCAAATGCTGTTGGGTGCTGTGACGTGACTCCGAACACAACAACGCGTGGATTGGTGTTTGTTAACTCTCATTGGTTTCCATAGCACTGATACTCAGTTTGCAAGTAAAATTGTGGATGGTTTTTTCTAGCTGTCAGCTCTGTAAATTCACCCAAAGATCTATGTGACAGACCAGCTCTTTCCTTCCTGTGAATCATCGCAGGTGAAGACTGGGCAGGCTGAATCAGGTGCTCAGTTTGCCACGCTGGGTGGTCTATGCAAAGGCTGACTTAATCAATCCATCTGCCGTGGAGAAGCGCGAGTTAATAAAACTGCTTCTAGTAACCAATTTGTCCTGTGTCTCTCTGCATAAAATCTCACTTTGCAGTGGATGCATATGCACACCCGAGTCTTTGTTGTCTTTTCAGGAAATTTTGCTTGCTGAAAAATGGGCCAAAATGAACAAGCTTCCTTTCCCCAAAATAGACCCAAACGTATTTGATCGGGAGGGCATGAAAGAGTGCTATGTTTTCAAACCAAAGGATACCTCTTCAGAGAAAGACTGTCCAACTATAATCCATTTTGTTTTGGCCAACATCAACTTCCGGAAGTACAAAGCTCCAGGTGAGCACACAGTTTCTGATGCTAAATCTAGCTGTTCCTTTGAAGCTTTATAATGGCACGGTGATCGTGTAATGGGAATGTTTTGTCTCCGAAATAACTCTATAGTCTGTCTGTAGTAGTTAGGGATTTCAAAAGAGCCATGAAAAAATAAGACGGTAGGTCCTCAGACCTTTTATAGTGTATTTTTGTATTTGTTCTGTATGCAGGCGTTCCAAGAGAAACACAGGAAGAGAAGGATTTTGCAGACTTTGACATTTTTGATGATCTGAATACACCATTCTCTACATTCAACTTCCAGTATTCCAACGAGGCTTTCAGGAGGCTTCATGATCTAATGGAGTTCAACACCCTCAACAACATAGACGTATGTATGCCAGTGTGGAAGGGGCTTAAAGGGTCTAGATTGTAGAGTCGGTGATGTGAGTAAACCCTAAATCTGCTGTACAGAAGGTACGGGGGTTTACTTTGGCGTTTGCCTGATTGTTGTGACATACAAAGTGCTTCCTGCATTTAGCTGAGCTGCTTGCTGTTCTCAAAGTTGAGGCTGGATCAAAGCCCATTATAGTCAGTGGAAAATATCCGCTTTATTCTAATGAGGGCTGGAGTATACCCTAGGTAAGCTCTTCATGAGCCTGTGTAGAAAGGTGCACAGACAGTGTCACGGTTAACTTGCATCCTTCCAGCCTGGGAAGGAAAGAAGAGCCCAGTCACTGTAGGTAAGACAGTGGCTGGAGTTACCTGAAGAGAATTGGATGAGATACACAGAATTAGGTGAAGAGAATTTGGTCTTTTCACTTGACCTCTTATTTCTGAAGTTCTGAAATACCACTGCTGTAGGAAGTATTACCATATACGATCCTCTGTCAATAATAAATCACTAAACAAAGAGGCTGCTGAAAAGGCCAGAGGTGCTTTCCAGTGGAAAAAAAAAAAAAAAAAAAAAAAAAATCTAAACTGTATTTCTGGGGCTAAGAAGATTGATGTGATATTGTGGCCACCTTCCAAATGGAAGAACTATTGGAGTGTAGGATGTGTGCCTTTCATAGCATTTGAGCCTGCACTTGTTAGGATCCATTCCAATTCATACTCTAATTTGGTTCCTGTGTCGTTTTTGCCATTTTGCCATCAAAAGCCCTGCAGGGTAACTGAGCAAAGGTGCCTGTGTAGGATGGAGACATTACGTTCAGGGTTTTATGCTCAGTTCTTTCTATATGATGATTTTCTAGCTGAGAAAAAAAGAAACTGGAAAATTTCTGTAAAGATGTTTGGAAATTTATTTCTCAACTAACTCAGTAATAATTATTTGCAATCGATACCAGCTGTAATGCGGCACCGCGGTCCCAGCATCCACAGAGTGACCTACCATATTCACAATTGTAAATGAGCATCCCAGATAAAGAATTTTTTTTTTTTCTCAATATAGTAAATAAATCTTGTTACTTCAGGACAAAGGAAGCAAAAGTGAAGGTTTAGTCTTTCTCAAGATAGTAATTATTTTCTATGTCCCTTAGGTATGTATTTTCTCGATGTTTTGATTTACCCTTCAGAATTTCATTGGGACTCGGTTTAAATGGTGCAAATTGTGGGACGTCTCTGACGTTGGTGGTATCCTGTCATATCTTTATTAACTACGTTAGTTACACCAAGAAATTGTATTCATAATAACACCCAGCAATCACTTTGTTCAGTGATGGAGCAGTGTTAAAAGTAGGAGCAAAAGTCATTCACATCAGAAGGGGTCTTTTCTATCAGTTAATAACTCATTCAAATGTGAGCTCTTTCCCTGAATGACACCTTGTTCACTGTTTTCTAGGTGATCAAGGAAGCTATGATGGAAAGCATTGAATACAGGAAAGAGAATCCATCTCGCTGCTCCGTGTCTCTTAGCAGTGTTGAAGCAAGGAGGTTCTTTAATAAGAGCAATCTTAACAACAACCATACGTAGAGGATGCCTCGTGGGTCCCACTCCTTCAAGAAACTGGTTCTGCCTTTATAACTGGAGTCAAAAAGAAAAAGACATCATCAGAGCATCCCTGCTCCTCAACAGGGCGGTGCAAAACTCCTGAAAACATTTTCTTGTGAATTTTCAAGTTCCGATATAATTTTGTACTTCTTTTTTTTTTTTTTTTTTTCAACTAAACACATTGAAAACATTTCAGTATGCTGATAGCCTTATCTTAAAGAGTACGGAAGTAGTTTGACTATGATCAGTGGGTTCAGTGTCTTTTGTTTTTTCCTTACAAAATTGTAAACACTGGTTTCTCGTAGTGGGGCAGTTGTCTGATTTTAATTCATATAAACCGGGCATATCTTGAAACACACAATGGAATTAGAAACACAACAGAATAAAACTTTAGTAACAGAGACAATATGTATGGCTGGGCCTGGGCCCAGACCCCCCTTTGCTTTGTATCGATAAGAAGATCTCCTCTGACTTTGGTTTGAAAGCTCAATAATTGCTAACTACTGCCAGGCAGCAGCAGCCCCCCGGTGTATTCGGTCGCTTGGCTGCTTACTGGCTCTGTTCAAGTTGATTTCTCATCCTGAAAGGGGTTTGGTTCACTCATAACCAAAGGCTTTGTATTGGCCTTACCCAAACCCCGCTATCAAGCTGCGTTTCACATTTCGCTTTTCTGGCTCTTAAAAAACAAAAACAAACAAACAAACAAACAAAAAAAACCAACAAACTTTTGATAACAAACAAGTATCAAAGAAATGGGGTTTATATGTCTTTGATAATAGAAGTAGAATCCTCAGCTGGTTATTAATGCCAGTAGAGCTTTTGTAACTGATGCTAAGAAGGATCTGCTCTTGAATCCTTTAATCTCAAATATTTTCAAAAATACTGAAGTCCGCTTTACTGCCGTTTAAACAACGTATGTATCCACTCAGCAAAAGCTCCAGCCTCTTATGTTTTCTTTTTCTCTTTTGTTCCACAAAATTACACCACTTGACTTCTTGGGCTAGTAGCACCCGTGGGTTAAATTATTGTTAGTTCGCGTATTGCTGACCAAAATGTTTCTAGATAAATTCAGTGTGATTTTGCATTTGATGACGATTAAAAGCATCACATTTCTGTAAAGGGACAGTGGCAATGTTTCTTGGGGATAGAGGAAACGTTCCTAGGTAAGAATGTGAAGTCGTTCACTGTGTTAAGGGCTATTTTTAAAAGTCTGGTTTTAGTACATTGAATAATGAAAGACCTTGTGTCGACACGGATTATTTTAGTCCCATCTCAACAAGTGTCGAGATGACTCTGCAAGTGCGTAGAGAAGCGCAGTGCCACCTCCCAGAGCTTCCAGCCTCCCCTGAGAGGACGGAACCGGGCCGGGTGCGTGGGGGCCGGGAGCGGGAGGAGCGGGTGCTCCAGCAGCCAGGCGTTCGTGGGGCGCTCGGCCCGCTTCTGGCGTTCTTTTAAAGTTTGGGGGGGAATTGCCTCTCGGTCCTTCGCCGCGCTCGTCTGGAGCTCGAAGGCGGCGGCAGGGGGCCGGGTGGCCCAGCTGGAGGGGGGCGCCGGGGCCCCGGGGGGAGGAACGCGCGATCGGCATCGCGCTGGACGCAAGTGCCTTCCCGGCAGGGTTGGAGGCCCGTGTGTTTTCTCTTCGCGGGTTCTATGTGGAATTCCATACTCGAGATTTCTGCGGGCGCTAATAAGGGCTCAGATTTCACCCTCTATTTTTCCGACGGGGCCGTCGGGGCGCCAGCGCGCGCAGAGACCGTGGGTGCAGTGCAGAGACTGCTTGGAGGGTGGCTGATCTTTTGCTTGACAGTTTTCTGACAATTTTTACTGTATCTGCGCATTTATCAGAGTTTATTGCTGATTCAGCGGCCGTTCCTTTTATTGTGAATCATTGAGCTATTTTTAATTGCTAAAATCTGTAAGCCCGTGGAAAGGGAATGCATCATCCCTCCTTAAATCTACATGCAATGTTACATGATTAATAACGTTTTCTCTATTGATCAGTAGGTTTTATTTCTGTTGGAGTTAGTACATTTTTAAAATCAAGAGAGAAAATAAAAATAACTTATCTTACTGCTGCATAAGTTAAGCATTTTCAATACATTTTGGAATTCAGGAAGTAACTGGTACCATTATTTTATTGTAATATTTTCTTTTTAATGTTTTTTTTTTCCTTTTTTTAACATAATATTTTTATTTTATATTTTATAATATGTATCTACTCTGTTTTATGGAACTGTATTATCATGCCTCATACAGTTTCTATTATCACAATGTTATCAGACAATAAAAAATAAAACAACTATATTTGGCACCTACTGTTTTCAGACAGTTTATTTTGAGCGTTTACATGATATTTTAACTTGTGAAGAGGTGTTGGAACAGCTCGCTGGCGTGTGGAGCCAGGTGGGACAGCTCACGTGCAGGAAATTCAAGGTTTTGCTTGTCTTTTTAGTTCAGATGTTAAAACTGCAGCTTTTTTAAGCAGTTCAGCGTGTGGGGACGGCACGTCAATCCGGTTTTATTCCTCCTGCTGATGCATTTCGTTATCGGCGCTCTGCCAGGTATTTTGTGCTGTTCTGTCAAGAGCTCCTGCAGCCAGTGACCGTGCGGGTGTTGGGTGCTGGGACTTCGCTGCCTTTAATCTTGGATTTCCTAAAAAGCTTGGAAGTTCCTCCAGACCTGTTCAGATCAAATAGCTGCTGGCCCGTTGCTTCTGTTTGCTGACAACCAGGAGCTGTATGTCGTTCGTGGGCGCTTCAAAACGCAAGGGCATTGTTCTTACAGAAAATAAGTAAATATTTTTCTCCCATTACTGTATGGTGAACATGGCTAAGAATGACCCATCACCAACAGGTCTAAGAGTAAAATACTAGAGACATCAAAAGCTTGTGGTCCAAAATGTCTGTGGAGGGAGTAACGAGTCTCTCAATTTGCACCAAACTCTCCTGAGCTGACCCTGCGGGGCTCCTGCGGCGGGTTTGCTCGGTTTGGAGCAGCGTGTCTGCTGCCGGGGCAGGAGTCCCTCTTCCTCTGCTGAAATCAAATTTGTCACCAGAGACCCCTAGGTCTCACTTTTTCAAACATTTGAAGTGGCTTGGGGTCCCCAGAAACTCATTGTTAAGTTCATAACTGTAATTTCACTGCGGTCTTGAACTAAAAGCCTCTCTTAATTCTGTGTCCGTAAACCTCAGGTGGAAAAAATCCATCTTGGTATGATCAGAAACCTGGAAATTGAAACCTTATTTCAGTTCAGCTGTGGAGCAGAATACTAGGACTTACAGTCTCAGTCATACATTATATTAAAAATTATGTCAAAGGAGAAGAATAATGCAGAACAAAAACTTTTCCACTCCTGACAGATGATGTGAAATCAAGAACATTTTTTCCTTAGCCTAAAAAGTTAGTCCTTTGTTTCTCATTTTCCCTTCCTTCAACCCCTGGTTCATTTGGTTTCTGCCTGCAATATTTTTTTCCAACTGAACATATTATACCTAGGCGGCTGAAAAAGGTGGGCTTAGAGAATTAATTATTTCGGATGTCAGAAATTATTTTAGATGATGCCTGCGGATGTGGAAGTGCCATCCTGCTAGGCCGGAGTGACTGCAAGGAGCTCAGCCTTGCATGTAAGCACGGCTACTGAAAGGCAGATGTGGCTGCTGAAAGGCAGATGTGGCTCCTGAAGGGCAGATGTGGCTACTGAAAGGCAGATGTGGCTGCTGAAAGGCAGATGTGGCTCCTGAAGGGCTGATGTGGCTACTGAAAGGCAGATGTGGCTCCTGAAGGGCTGATGTGGCTACTGAAAGGCAGATGTGGCTCCTGAAGGGCTGATGTGGCTACTGAAAGGCAGATGTGTCTCCTGAAGGGCCGGTGTGGCTACTGAAAGGCAGATGTAGCTCCTGAAGGGCAGACGCGGCTACTGAAAGGCAGATGTGGCTCCTGAAGGGCCGATGTGGTCCCTGGGTCTGTCCCACTCCCGGGAAGCCTGCCCCCCAGCCTGGCCCCAGTCCGCGGCTCTTTCCCGGGGCCCTCCGGGCGGTCTCTGAAATCTCGTCTTGCAGCAGAAGCGAGTGCTCAGAATAAAATCCTATGGACCGGGAAAGCATGAGAGCACAAGAGCCTGACCCTAGAGTGCTTGCATCAACGAGAAGAAAACTCATTTTGGCAGGGAAACGGGGCCGCAAGGAACACGCTTGCTGGTTTGACCCGGCATATTTTGTCTGGGGGCTGAAATTCGAGCAGTCGGTGTAGACGGGCTGCAGCGTTCCCTAGCGCAGGCGGGATCACCCCCCCTGGTCTCTGCTCTTCGAGCAGCAGTGGGCTCGGTGCTGCTGAGAGCTGCTCAGCCGCCCCGTACGCACCGGTGGACGTGAGATCAGCAACGCGAGTTGTGCAACCGCGTGCCTTTACATAACACGTTTGCTCTGATGCTCACTCAAACCAAAAGCATGTAGACGTTTCCTGAAGCTGTAAATTCACCCATCACTCTTACTGCTTTTGCACTCTGCATCCAGGCCAGATTTGTGTATTGATGTGACTCATCCAATGAAGTTATATACACTGGCCCTTCTCACGCAAAGCAAAAAATACAGACCGTCACAGTTCACAGGCAAGGAATTCCCCATGACAACAAAAACATGAGACTGTTTTGCCTGCGAAGAACAGGCAGTGTGGCAATGAAGTTGACAGAGCGACTTGCTAACCTTTAGACTAACCTAAAAATACATTGTTTGGTGCAAGAGGAACAGGAATTCCTCATGTGATCATTTAACCCTTGAGTGCCAAGCCACACAAACTTGGCTCAAGTAGAAATTAGGGAGAAAAGGCCAAGCCAAAAGACTTCTCTTCCCCTTAAGTTTTGTCAGGAGATGTACGGGAATAGGAGAAGTCCCAAAGCAGGTAGCCGTGAGCTAGGGGAGACCCCAGCCTGGGAGGAGAGACCGGGACCTGCCACAAATATAGCCAGCTCCAAAAAATAAATGGGGGCAAACAGGGCGCTGAAAGGGAAAGCCCAGCTGTAGCCGGGGCCACCAGCGCTTGGTGCAAGGGCGGAGGCGGGAGGGATGCCCGATGTCTGCAGAGGGAACCAGCCTGCCGGCGCTTTGGGCTGCCCCGTGGCTCTGTCCATGCCCGGGGTCACCAGCCCCATTCGTGAGACCTTCCCCAGACCTGCCAGAAAAACCTCAGAGAATTTAACATTTAACATCCCAACTTTATACTTAAAAATATTTTGCCTTTATCAGAACAACGCTCTTCCAGTTCCTCCTCCTTCAAGTCTGTGGCCAAGATAGAAGCAGAAACCTGAGTGCTTCGGGATGGCTTTGACTTCTGTGTTTCCCTCTAATTCTCAGCCAGATATGTTTATTTAGGTAAGTCAAAAGCGAGCAGGGAAAAATAGGCAGCTCGGTTCTTATTCAGGTATGAAACTATACGTGAAACTTCTGCCATTGCAGAACAAGGTACATAGGTAAAGTTATGCAATTTCTTTGTTCCTATTTTCTAATTTAGCTTTGTATCTGCTCCTCACTCAGCTTTCTGGAAGGGGTCATGGGGATGGACGTCTGGGGTCAGTGCTTTCTCTTCACGGGAGATGGAAGCTCACCTCTTCTGTGTTAAGTGCTTAAGATGAGGTTCATGTAGGAGGCATGCTCCGCATCCAGCTTGTGCTAAACACACATTATAGACATTCTGCTGCCAACACGTTGTTTAGGGTGTGTTCTGGAAAATATGAAACGGAATTAACGTGATGACCTTAAAAGAAATTGAGGCAAGTGTTTTGCCAGTGTGTTTGGAAAGCATAAACACTGATACTTTGCAGCTGTTGGGTTTAATACAAATCCTTCCTTCTGGTCCCGTTTTGCTGAACGCCAGGGATTTGCTACAGGACATTTCTGTATTACCGGACACGCGCTGTTTATGACACTACCACGTCCGTGCTAGCTGTCAGCAGAAATAGGCTCAGCCTGAGCGGCTGAGGCGGCATCTGTGCGCCGCCAGATGCAGACGTGGGAGTCCGTCTGTCTGTCCGTAGCCCCGGGGCTCTCCCATTCGGGCAGGACGCTGCGGGTGATGGCTGCGGAGGGGCCGTGACCCGGTTTGCCTGTGGATCCTGGGGCGGGCCG